ACTAGTATGCGCTTTTGTAGTTAGTATGATGGTTTGGTTAGTGTCGATGGCAGATGCTCTGCTAACTCAATCAAGGAATAAGCTCACTACGAGAGACCCCTAAGATATTAGCTTCTTCGATAGTATATCATCACACTTTAGTGATCTGGGGACGGTTCGACATGTAATGAGATGAAGCATAGTAGGGGAATCTCATGACCATTTACTCACAACACTATCTTCTTTCCATGAGCAAATATCCCATTCAACGAGTGGTGCACTAAGCCAATCCTACGGGACACAAACACCCAGCCATCCAAGCTACCCCATGTTCCACAAACAGGACAATCAAACCGAATCCCCCTCCATAATCCCTCCCATGATCCCACCACCCATCAGGCTAAGCGAAATCCCCATCAGAACACACAATACTCAACTACCATAATAATAATGATCTGTGATATAGCCTGCACAGTACCCAATAACTGCAACCTTGCAATAGACATGCAGAAGGTTTCTGCACCTTTTTTTTCTTGACTTATCTTTATCTGGTAAATCCCGGTATCTGAGTGGGGCCCCATACGGGACTGATCTATTTGTGATACCGGTAGGTTCCCAATATCTTCCCCCATATTATATGGATATTCCCATTGATGATGTTCGAGGAGAATAGCCATATGACGTGTCTGGTGTGAGTCATTCTTGGCTTTGGGGTTTGTACATGTGCCGTCTCGTCTCGTTGGGGGGAATACTTGTTGGTTAGATAGATATTGCTGGATGGAGGTTGATTTCTCGGTCTATAGTGTTGATGTTGGGGATTTCTCTTCGAAGGTTGAAGGGAGCTGTATGGATTTGTATACTGGTCTTACTTGGGAAGGGTTTGAACTGTCATATTGGGGTTAGGGCAATATCTGGCTGATCATGTATTATAGTTCTTGTCTGGGTACATCTGGGATAGCTACTAGGTGAAGGGAGGTGTTGTGGTGTATAATGAAGTACTTTGGGCAACTTCTTGAGAGATAATACTCTGTGGTTTGAGGGGAATGCTGTATGGATTACTACTATAGGGCTTGTGTGTGGATTTCGTTGTATTCAGTCAACTTTTTATTTGGCTATGGGTCTCGAGTATTCGTAGGCATAGTTTCGATCTCGTTCGTAGCGCATGTACGGTATCATTAGGGCTATGAAATGACATGTTCTACTCCTTCAATATGGTTGGAAAGTTGTCTGGATGTAGGGTGTTCTGTGAATACTGTGACTATATCAACTTATGTGAAGATCAAGAGATAACGTATTCTTTTACAACGTACTAAGCTTGTCCGTAGAATAAATATGACATTTCTCATAATCGAGGTTTCAGCTCATAATACCTTTTGTTTCTCTTGAGCAGAAATCTGTATAGAGCACCTTGTGATCAAATCTAGGCAGACAATAGGAGCGTTTGTCCTGACCTACAAACCATTTCAGAACACCCAAAACAGATATTTTGATAAACCAAAAAATTAAAAAAGAAAAAAATGATCTATCATGAGAAGAAACAGACTTTACAGCTTCTGTCTCAGTTTCACGCTTGTCATTTCCCATTTGCATTGTGGAGTCGGTTTATCCCATACATTTCAAGGAAATATCCATCCAGCTTCAACCTGCCAATTTGGCCTCAAGGCCTCGCCCCTTTGTGTTCCGAGTATTTAGTCTGCCTCTCTCGCGTTGTTCCCCCTTGTCTTCTTCCTTGGTGGGGTTCTCCAAGACGCTGTCGTTTGCCTTTGTCACCTGAAATAGAGGGCAGCATCACTGTGCTGATTCTGTTCAGGGTTGCTGGAAGCATCCAAACCCTACTGTTCAGCATTGTCCAATACCCAAATCACAGCCCTCTTGTCTCCCTTCGCCCCTAACGCAGTTGATACAAGGAAGAAGGTGGAGGAGTCCTTGTACAGCTGGTGTATTTCATTGTACACATCTCTGTGTACAAACAAGTGCTTTGTGGTTGAAATCACATTGTTTACATATCCTTCCATTCAGAACTGTGAGACGCGCTTTCTGGTCAGTATATTCCTGATCTATTCAGTTTCATATCTTTATTTCAATTGTAATTCTCATAATCCAAGGTCTTTGTCATTTTCCCAACGCAGCCGTCCTCTCCATTTTCTATATGATAAACAAAGATGCTCTTTGTTACTTATCTCAACAAACCCCTTGTCCTTGTTGTATGATATTGATCTTTAGGGACCAAAGGACTAACAGCATCTCATCTTTAACTATATAGGGGAGTTCTATTTCTTGGATCGTGCCGAAATACAATATCTCTCTAGCAGCACACTGTTTGCTATTGACACGCACTATTCCAATAATCACCCTCTCACAAGACCTCTAACTCTCTTAACTAGGTATACTTTGCTTGCACGTTGCACGTCTCTTCCCCTTCGTGAGCAAACTTACCGGTCAATTCCTTGCAATGGCCGCAAAGAGATCGTTCGACCAAGCTGGTCTTGGGGACGAAGAGAATCGGGCCGTGAAACGGCAATCGAGCGAGGAGCAGCTCCAGAGCCCCGACGACATTTTTGGTAACGCCGGGCTTGATGACGCTGATGCTCAAGATCTGTATGGCGATCATGCATATCTTGTCGACGCTATGGAATCTACCAACCGGGCTCAAGCTGGTGTATTCGAAGAAGCAGAACTGCAACAAAACCTGGACCCTACTTATCTCCCAGTTATCCTGGAAAGCATAACATCTGACATGATGCCGACAACATCTGCATCAATGGCAGACAACGTTACTGGCCTCTTTGAGGAGCCCTTGTCTGCGAGCGAAGGTGTAGCCGGGGGCAATGGTGACCAGACATCCCTGGATGGAGGTGTCTCCGCCAGTCAGGTTACCTCTGCCAACGGAGGCCCTGCTGAAGGCAACAATGCACCCACTGAGGATCCTGCTACAGCGGCGGCTACCGAAGTACAAGTACCTCAAGAGGAAGCCCCAGCGCCGCCCAAGAAGAGAAAAGGACGCCCTCCGGGCTCTCGCAACGCCACCACCCGTGCCTCCAAGAAGAACAAGAATAAGGAAGGTTCATCAGAGAATGCAGGTGACGACAAAGATGATAAGCGAGACGCTTCACTTGAAATGCGCCAAACTTACGCAATGAAAATTCCGGCCAAGCCCCTCAAGCCGGGTGAACCGGACGATACAGACGCAGAGCTAAGCGAATTTGACGAAGAAAGTGACGAGGAAAGCAGAACCGGAAAGAGGACGAAGAGAAGAAGGAAGTCAAAGAGAGGTAAGATTAAAGAATCCAGATAAAGTGACAATGGTAACTAAGGAACGAAATAGATCCCTCCCGGACCACCCTTGCCTGTGACCTTTGCAAAGTATGTGATACCCTTTCTTGTGATCTTCTTGCCCAGACTGACTCCGTTCCTTTGTCAATTAGATGAGAAAAGCGAAGTGCGACAAGGGTCTTTTCGGCTGCTCGAATTGCAGGAATCAGAACAGAATTTGTTGGGTTACTGATCCAATTTGGCTTCGCACTGAGCGTCGCGGAGCCCTTATATTGATGCGTCGAAGGATCATACATCTGGAGTGGTTGAACAATTGCCTTGAACAGGCAGCACGATCACTCAGCAGCAGAGTGAAAGCACTCCTGCAACAGCTTCAAAATGCGGTAAGCATTATTCTATCCAGACATTCCGATCAATCCCTCGCTGACCTCACCGTTACTATATCCAGAATATCACTCCAGTTCCCGAGGAGCCTCTGGCCGTGGATCCTACTAAAATCGTTATGCAACAAACTATACGCTATCTCAAGCAGAGCCGAAAGAACCCAAACAACTGCGATGAATACCCCTCTGAATTCAATACCCACGGACCCGGTGATCTGGAGGACTTGATAACCTCTCCGTTGGATCCCTATCCCGAGGACCATCCAGAGCGGCATCCTGAATTCAACTCCATGGGCGATGCCAGCTTCGAGGCCTACGTCTCGGAAGGATTTGAAGATCCGACAGGGTCTAAGATTAAACAAATTTTTGAACAGCATATAGCAAGGAACTCCAGGGCCCAAGCACAGGGGCCTTCTGGACCACAGCAGAACGGAGCCATGCCTGGCCATGTTGATAATGGCACCAGGCCCGCACACCCGACGGGCCGTCAACAGGGAACTATACAATATCCCACAACTCCCCCTGCCGCGGCTTATCAGGGTCGCTATGCGCAGGTTAACATGGGCCAGCTTCCGAAGCAGGTTGGCCTGCCACAAGATCCCACCTACAACGCTCAACTCGCCCAGCTGGCAGCAAGCCAATTCTCCAACTTCCCACCTGGCACTCCATACATGCCCAATCAACCCTTCTTCGCCCCTCCCCCGGGCTTCCAGCAGCAGCAGCAGCAGCAGCAGAAACAGCAACAGCAACGCCATGCTGCTGCGCAGCCCTCCAGCACCATTCCAGCACCACCTGCGACCGAATCCTCCGCCTCCACCCAGTTCCCCCGACCCGAGAACACCAACATGCAGAACAACAACCCTAACAACATGTACACCCAATCCACCCGACAAGTCCACCCCAATGCCCTCGAAGACCTCGCCCGATACCAATACCAGCAGCAACAGCATCAGCAGCATCAGCAACAGCAACAAATGGCAGCCCCCAAACAAAGCCAACACACCAACTACGAAACCCTCCCTCAGATCAACACCCCCGGCTACTCAACCCACTACCCCTACGATCAGGGTCAAGACGACACCCAACTCGCAGCTGCTGCTGCTACTTCCACATACCCCGAAATATCCGACCATGCTCTCACTCAGTACTTGGGCCCAAATGAGTTTAATCTCTACGGCCCTGACGCCGCCGCCGCTCTAGCATGGGCGAGCATGCCCGGGGGTGCTGCCGCTGCTGCTGCTGCTGCGGGCTACCCGCACGAAGGTATGAGTTTGGTTGGTGGTGTTGTGCCTTCGTCGTCGGCGGGCGTTTCGCAGCCCCCGACTTCTGCGGCTACTGCTACTACTGCTACTGCTACTACTGCTGCTACTGATAATGTGCCTCAGAAGAAGGCGAAAAGGGGTGGGAGGAGGAAGAAGCAGCAGCAGCAGCAGCAGCAGTAGTAGTAGTAGTAGTTGACCGGATATTGGTGTTAGTTTCTGGGTACGTTGGTGTTGGGTTCTCTGTGGTAGAGGGTATGGTATCTAAGGAGGTGTAAAGTTGCTTGAGATTTTCTCTTTTTTTGTGGACATACTATCCCAGAATAGTTATTTCTACTACTTTGCTTGTTTAGTTACTACTACTATCCTCTTTAGGCTTTTCCCTCTAGGCTAGGCTTGGAGATGTTTAACATGGTAGTAGTAGGGAGGGATTGCCCTCCTATGTTGGGGGTATATACTATATGATGAAAAGATTATATGATGAATGAGTATGGATATGATATGGTTACGAATTGATAAATGTTTTCGGGTTTGATGATGGTTAGGTTGTTAGTTTTGGGAAAATGTTTTGTTTAATATTGTTATTTCCCTTTTTGGCTTCCGAATGAATGGAACTTGCATTGCTGTTTGAATCGATACCTACGTTATCTTTACTCCAGATTAAGATGAGAAGTCCGGCAGTCTTCCGTAGTATGCTGGCTATTAGTAGTAGTTACTCTGCCTTAGTGATGTTAAGTCGAGATTAAGCAAAAGGGTATTGAACCAATCAAACCACGGCACCAATGAAGCCAAACCAAACCCTAACCTAACCTAATCCAAGGCCTTCTAGTATACATGCATGCAACCATAACTCCACGATAAACCAACTCCCTCCCAAAATCAACACAAGGATAATCAAGCGTAATTCCCAATGCATCCGACCCCAAACCCCACTCCAAATCCAAAATAATCTATATTGAAAGAAAAGAGAACAACATCACTCCCTCCTCTTCGGCCTATAACAACAAACCACCCCTTTACTCTCACACCACCTCCTCACGAACCCAGCCCCGACCTCCCGGTCCTCGTTCACAAGACCCAATCCTTCTGTATTTAACCATGTCGTGAACTCTTCCAAAGGAATGGGGTCGTACATGAGGATTTTCTCGTGCCAGGTTTGTTTCTTCGTGTGAGGAGTATTTTGTATATGGGATGATGCAGTCCGGGTTGCGGATTGGGCGCGGACAGCTTTGGTGATTTGGTCGGTTAGGAGGAGGAGGATGGCGGGGGGTTCTGGGTCTTTGGGGATGGGTGTGAATGTGGTTGTAGTTCGGTTGGGACTTGATGGTATGTTGGATGTGGGGAGGGAGGGGGCGTGTTTGTGCTTCGTTTGGGGGATTTTGGGTAGGAGGCGGCTGGGGGAGGGGAAAGGGATAGGGTCGGAATCGTCTTCGGAGTCTTCGATTTCTTCGACGTTGGCGTAGGAGGGGGATGGTTTGGGAGGTGAGGTTGAGGGTATAGTGGTAGGGTTGGGGTTGTTTGAGTGGGTGGATTTTGTTATTGTTGATATAGCTTCTGTTGTTGACTTTGATGATGTACTGGGTTGGGATTTGGCTTTCGCCTTCGTGGTAGTCTTCCGTGTCGTGCCTTTTCCTTTTGGCTTATTGCCCGGGACAGGCGCTGGCGCAGGCTCGACAGACGGATCCTGCTGTGCGTTCTCGGCATTTGTCTCCGAGGATACGCCGTTCTTTGCTTTCCAGCACTTTTCAAGCAGCTCAATCATCTTCTTCCGGTTCTTGAGTGGCTTGAAGCCGAATGAAGCAGCCTGTTTCGATAACTGGGCATCTGTGAAGTCGTTGTATTGCGGCATTTTAGAGTCAGATTTGCGGGCAACAGATGTGTAATTCTGAGTCATCTTGTTCGTTGTCTGAGTCGTTGGAGCAGGTATAATAAGCTGTGCTTCGTTGGTCGAAGTAGCCTTCGCCTGGTCGCTATCTGTCTGGGTAGGGTTGATATCGCTGGTATTGCATTCGGCTTCAGCTTCTCCCCTGTCGCTGCTAGGTTGCTCATCCGGAGTAATAGTCTCAGATCTATCTGGCGAATCGATGAGATCAACCACCTCCACCTGCATCAGAGAGCCGTCAACATCTCGAGATGCGACTGACCACAAGTTTCCTGAGCCATTGAAACGCGATACTGCAGAAGATGCCCTGCTCTGCATTCGGTGCGGACGACCGCCGGCTTCCAGTGTCATGCTCCGTTCCGACTCGCTAATAGCTGCCTGCAGCTCTCTTATAATAGTGGGCGAGTCTTCGCGCTCCAGCTGGCTGCACGTGCCGAATACCAGCTCCTGATCATCGAGGGATTTGGCAGCTTCTTCGGGGGAGAGCACCACAAACTCGGGTTCCTGGCCCTTTTTCTTGGATCGTGAAGCTCTAGGCTTCGCTTTTGGTGTCTCTTCCTCCACGACATCTGAACCTTCTGTAGACTCGTTGATATACTTCGCTGTCACGCGGGCAGTGAGTGTGGTGAACTTCTTGGCACGTTGCGTGGGTTTCTTTCGAGTAGCCGGTGTTGACTTGCGTGTTCCCTCTGTGCTATCCTTCTCACTATCGTCGGCAACACTTTGTCTGGAAGTAGGATATACTCCGGGATCGACCAGCTCTATCCGCCTTCGCTTCGTCGGTGCACCATTATCAGAAGGCACGTAGTCGCTTGCTGGAGCAGCAGACCCATTGAACCCATACTCTGACAACAGGTTACCAAAGCCCCTTGTAATATCATCTGGCCCTAACTTCCCTTCCAACTGAACGACTTCCTTAGCCTTTTTTGTTGTAGGTGTCCAGTCCAATCTCCTCGTCATCGCTGGTTCAAGCTGTAAACCATCCCTTTCCCAATCAAGCACATCCTTCGTAGTCTGCTGGGGCAGAACAGCCTGTGGCGTCAACGGACAAACGGCCTTCTCGCCAGCCTCCTTGGGTTGCGAACTGCCCGCCTTCGCAACCCTCCCAGAGATCGTCTTATTTGCCGGCTTCGAGCGCTTCGTCGCAGGTTCAGTGCGTTTCTTACTCGCGCCTGTTGTAGTCTTTTTCGCAGTAGTCTTCTCGGTACCCGCGACAGACCCCGACTCCTCCGCAGCCTTCTTCTGGTCCTTCTTTGGCCTACCCCTTCGCTTCGGTTTATCTGCCACCGGTTCTTCCTCTAGCGTTATAGCAGCCGATTCACCATTCGTCAAGTTGCTGGAATCCTTGCGGGATCCCTTCCGGCGCGATTCATCGATTCGATTCCCAACCTCGAAAAACTTAGAATGCGTCGAAGGACAGAATAACTCAGACGGAGACGGTATCGGAGTCGTTTCGACATCTACTGGAGACAATCCGAAGAGCCTTTCGGGATCATATGCAGGCGGCGCTGGCGTATGGACTGGATTGCGCTCCGGCGAGGAGGAAAGCACCAGGACCTCCGCGGTGGCGGACATGGTGGCGAGGCGCAACATATATCAGGATGATCGCTCGGTCGACATTAGCGCGCGTTCGGGTTGGTGAGTGTTGTACGCTAAGAATGAATCCCCCCTGCGCTAGTGAGCATGGTGTTATGCTATATGCGTGAGCCCCGGACGGTGGGTGTCTAGATCGATTCAGTCGCGATGATGCGGAGAGAGTTGCCGGGCTTGGCAAAGTTGCATGATTGCCGCTTTGGGATGGGGGATGCGGTGGGCAGGGCAACCAAGGTATGTTCTTCGTTTTAAGCATTAAGGTGATGTATTATTTGATTATATATAAAATGGAATATAGAACATATAGCATCTTCTAAAGTATTATTTCTGTGTAGAAAAAGAGCCGTAATCAGTGCTCCGCACTGACTCTATGAATGACGGCCCTGCGTTCTATGTACTGATCGTGACTCTTATAGACATATCTTGCATGGATGTTTCTTGCCAGACATATATCTGCACAAAGGTAGCTCCTGGGCGCAAATGACTCGAAACGGCATCAGCCAGAAGTTCTGACTGTCGGATGGTGCAGACAATCTGCATATGGCTGGCCCGGTTTACAGGGCTCTGGTTACCCAAATGAGCGAGATCGGGGTATGATAAAGAACTTCCTAATCCAAGATCTATTCAAGTCGCTCCTCGCAGAGCAATAGCTCCCAGGACCGACAGTTCGAGCCGGCGCATGCCATTCTCCTGGGTGCCGTTTGCTTGATTTGGCGGCGCAGTGTTCAGCGCCCCCAACTTGTAAGCCTTCTTGATCTTTGCAATGTCGGAGATCTTCGACAGAGTTTCGTCGTCGAATGGTACAGGCGTTCCCTCAACATTTTGTCCGAGATGGGCTGCGACCGAATCGTGGGTAATCTCCGGAGTCACGGAAAGCTTGACTACTAGCAAGTCTTTTGTGGAATCGGTAATGCCGAACTTGCGGAAAGATTCAGCAATCTAGATGTGGTCAGCATTGCCCATGAAGTCGGTTGGTAGCTGATTGTAGACGTACATTTGTCGCGGGGCTTAGCGAAAAGACCATCTCAGAATGCACATTCCGAGACTTGAGGCGGCCGTTCATATAATCATTGACTGCTCTGAAAACTGCGGAGAGAAGGTGTGTTCTTGAGAGGACCTGCGGCATGTTTAGCAGTTGCATCGCCGAGAGACATACTGACTCCGTACCGTGCTTGCATCAATGAAAGCGTACTCAAACTCCGCATTGGCGGACATGAGCTGCTGGCGAAGATACGGAGCATTCTGCACATCCCGATAAAGAGCGACATGCACGGGCATCGACGGAGGCAGATGCGAAAGGTGGATGGTTTCTAATAAAGGCGCAGACATGATGGGAATAGTGACGCAGAGGTGAAGTCCAAAAGGGAATTATCGAGAACGGGATCGAAGAGAGTACGCAGTTGTAGAATTCCGGGCCGAGATGATGACAATAGCAGTGTGGCCGTGCAAGTCCGTTAAGTCCTAAATCCTGATAATTCCCCTCCCCCGCCAACTTATCGCCGAGGCGGTGATGCTGACTCACGACGCGCTCATCTCCACGTGACTTCACTTCTCGAACGTTCGGGCGACCGTAGCGGCAGGCCGACGGATGACTGATATCATTCTTATAGCCGGCCATCCGCCGCTCTCCATCGCTTCTCCTCATCTCCAACAACATCGACATCATCGTCACAAACATGGCGTTCTTCTTGCGACGCCCGTTCGCCGTTCCTACGGCGCTTCGGCAAATCTCCAAACCTGCGAATAGCGCCCGTTTCATCCACAACACGCCCTTCAAGCCCCAGTCTAAGCCTACCGGTCCCATCTCCATCTTCGCAAAGTCCCGTCAGACCTTCCAAAATGCTTTCCGTCGCACCTACATGCAGCCTTCCTACAATGTTCAGGGCGGCAACATCACCCAGAAGCTGATCTACGGCGCCACCATCATCGGTGGTACTATCCTGGCCACGAACTTCATCTTCAACCGCGAAACCAGAGAGGATGGTGGCATGCCTCCGTTTGAGCGCAGCTACCTGAACGAGACGTTTATGCACACTGGACTTGGTATTGGTATCATTGGTATCGCTGCTCGCGCTCTGCACACCAACGGATGGTCTTATCGTTTGATGGCTGCCAGCCCCTGGGCTGTTATCGGTCTTGGTCTGGTTGCCAGCGTCGGAACCATGTATGGTACTCTGTACACGAACCCTGACAAGTAAGTCCTTCGCCAACGCATTCTTTTTCCTATGTGATCTTTTTCTGACAAATCACTAGCTACGTCATGAAGTATGGTCTCTGGGCCGCTTTCAACGTCACCCAGGCCGCGCTCCTGTCTCCCCTGATGTTCATGCACCCGGCTATTCTTGCTCGCGCTGGTCTTTACACCGCTGGAATGATGGGTGCCATTGCTTTCGTCGGTGCCACTGCTAAGCAGGAGAAGTACATGTACCTTGGTGCTCCTCTGCTCGCTGGTGTGACCATTGTCGCTCTCTCCGGTTTCGCTCCTCTTGTCCTCCCCGCTACTGCCACCCGCGCTCTGATGTGGTCCGAGAAGATCTGGCTGTACGGTGGTCTCGCTGTCTTCGGTGGTTTCACCCTCTATGATGTCCAGAAGATCCTCCACCACGCTCGCATGGCTCAGAGAGGCCTGGTTCGTAAGGATGTCGTCAACGAGAGTATCAGCCTTGAGTTGGACTTCATCAACATCTTCGTCCGTATGGTCCAGATCCTGGGCATGCGCCAGAACAACCGGAGGTAAACGCATTTCGCATTTGCAACTCTGTGATCGCCCTGGTGTAACGCCAGGGTGCCCAAATGCATGAGCATCTCATTGCACTCAGCGCCCTAATATACACGGTCTCGGACACTACGATGATTCGGAACTAAGTGGCATTTGTCTTTCTGAAAATTCGATTGTATTAGTATTTGCTGCATGGTTTCCACCAAATAATTCAGCCTGTATATGGAAGGGCACACACTATCTGTCAGTACCTTTGGCCAACGAGGTCATGGGTCAGCCACGCCGTTCCCGGTGACAAGGGACCGTGGCGACAGAGAAATCCGATGGAACTTACTTTTGTCGATACCTAGAGGTGGAAACCAATTAATCTCCACTCTTAATCCATCACATGAACACATTCAAAGCTATTCGTAGGAAGTACATACTGCCGTCGTAAAGCTAGACTGTAGCCCTACATCTTCATACCCTTGCACCTATTAATAGAAATATACAAATGACATCATAATATCCCCCAGCCCCAATCCCTCACTCCCCCATCATACCTCTCCAGCCCACTCCTTCACCATAATCCCAACAATCCTCCCACAGTAAAACCTCCCTCAGTGCCACATCACGATTATAACCAATCTGGCACAGCGCACGCCCCAGCGCTCGCGGCATGCAATCAAATCCCAGCTCCTGGATAACTTTTCGATAAGGTAACCGACGGTTACGCTCTGAACTACTTACAGATCCAGTTCAGGACGTGTTGTGCCTCACGCTCTTGGATTTTGAGTGGTCTTCCGCACGGCTTCTTGGGCGTTGGATAGCTGGCCTGCTTGCAACGTGTAGGTAACCACTCGGGGCGTTACTTGCAGGTACTCTGCTATTTCGTACACTTGGTAGCCGAGCTCGTGCTTGAGGAGGAAGGATCTTTGGTCGTGTGTCGCGGTCGTGCTAGATTTGGGTGCGAGTGCAGGTTTGGGTGAGGGTGGTCACATTGGCAGTGTTCTTCAGAGAGTAGATAGAAGAACGTGTGATGAAGCTTCCCAGCATGAACTAGGCATTGTTGACCCCATTACATCCAATAGTTCTATAAATTTGGATTAAAGTATCCGTATCAAATCATTTGCCTAGACGTACTTCCTTTCTTCTTCAGTCTACTCTAACACATGATTCAGTGAAGGCTCACTGCCAAACTTGTGGAGATTCAGGCTATTGAAACATATCATCCAACATAAATTCACATAGCTTCCTTTTTCATGACATCGTACCTCGTGTAAATGTAAAATCACTGGAAACCCTTCAACAACCTGCGCAAACCCGGTACATTTCATGACCATCAATCTCCAATCATCCTGTCCCTAGGAAATAAAAGCAACACTGGACGCCAGACGCCTGAACTATGTACCTTTAATCCCATCAACGAACTTCACCACGATATCATGAGAAACAGAGCCGCATTCTGGCATAACGAAGCTCTCCACACAAGCTCTCCGTACTCTGTAGACAGCCTACAGGTACTGTGGCCGAAGAAATCGAGACGAGCTGTGAATAAACGCAAGAAGATGAACCTCATAAGCATGATTAAGCCTCTCAATCTTCTCCGGTTCGTTAACCGTAACCATGTACTCAGGAGACACAGGATTCTCCCTTCGCTTATGATCACTCTTCGCTAGCTCCATCTTGATATCCTTCTTGATCTGACGCACATTAAGCCCACCCACTCGAGGAGTAAACATCATATTCGCCATATGACAATAGCTGTCTCCATTGATCTGCCCGAAAGTCCTCAATATCAAAGCGACTGTCTTCCAGCGTCGACATCTCTCCTCAGGCAGACGAACCTGGAGCGTCTTTTCAGGCCAACGGCACTCGAACAGATCATTGTAGAGTCGACTATATGGAGGGTCAGGGTAGTAACCGTTGAACTTTTCCTTCAGTATCATCTTGTTGCCTCTCACGGCACATGCTGAATGGCGGATTCGAATGGTTAGAAGGAGGGAGTGGTCTTCAAGGCCTTCGAGGTTCACGAAGTGGGTGTTTGCCGCCTTGATCATCAGACTGACTGAGTAGCCAATGTTTGGTCGAGAAGGATCGTGGATGCATTCGTTCAATGTCATGATGCAGCCTACCACGTCGAATGCTATATCGAGCTTGGCGTTTGGCTGGTGCAGCTCGCGGACTTGGTCGGGCGCAGAGCCTGTCAGAACTGCTTCGATTCTGGGATATTGCTTAGGCGAGCGGAAATGGCAGAAGCATTGGGGGTCGTCGCTGTCAGGATATTGATTTGTTAGAGGACTGATTATTGCTTATCTGGAGAGGAAATTGCCGAAAATCGAGCTCACCAGGGTAGATTCGAGACTGACTTGCCGCTCATCGCGGCGCAGTCTCTCTTTATCGCTCAATGAATGAAAGTTTTGCCTGGAATTGAGAGGCAAAGGGTGGTTTCTTTTCGATACCTGGGTAAAAGCTTGTCAATATCAATGATGATGAGCAAGCAAAAAGGAGAAGAAGGCCGCAGGGACAGCTAGATTGAGGACGGGTCTCATGTTGTCACTGTGTTTATCACATTCACATCGAGGGGCTGGCATCGATTCACTGATATCCAGCCAAATCTCTGTTCCTACAGTAGCAAAAAGTACACAGGGAAAGCTCTTCTATCAGCTCTCAGCTACTCAGATTAGACCCAGCACACCATCCTCAGCAGGAGCACGGGAATCCACGGCATGGTTACAAAGTACTACTAATGTCAGTATGATAACTGATGGCAGTGGATGTCTCTCAGCTTAGATTTATCTGTGTCTTTAACAGAGAGTCCCATAATTCCCTCATATCTACCCCGTTCATTGACATCATGTTATCATTCTCTGCGAAAGGATGAGGGTGGTGATAGAGAGTGATTACAAGTGCTATACTATGCCGCTAGTAAGTATAGTTAAATGATAGCTCACTCAGTGAAGAGACTATTTAAATTTGTAACCAGGAGAAACTTCTGTATGGATAACAACATTTGCAGGCGGAACTTGATCGTTAAAAGGTGAACAGTGCATGGGATACAGCCGAGCTAGCTACTAGATTTGAGTCTGTTGTATCCCCACAGCTCTTTGTAGGAGTAGTATATATCTCAATTTATTTTATGGGCATTTCATTGTTGCAATTGTCGCATCTTTCAGCAATGAGCATCCAGATACACTACTTAGTAGTACTAGTTGACCCTATCTGCTTGCGTTGAGTATACATATATCTTCACTACGATACACCCAACTAATGAGCAGTCACTAGAGCTGTAACTAAAGTTCCAGTACTTCAAATTATTCAGTGTTGTAATTCCCATGTCCTGTAAATCGCGAATATGCTCTTCTTACGTCTTAGTAGTTCATTGGTGCAATATACTATACTGCGTATATGAAAGTGCTATGAAAGGCTTTCAGGAGAAGCCTCTACATATTAGTCAAACATAGAAACTCCTCTCACAAGCCCTGTTCTATAATCCTGCCGATCATTGATCTTGACTAATATTTGTGGCATTGAGAGTAGTAGAAAATGGCCATCAACATTGACCGTCGTTGGATATCATTCGATTACATAAGCACACCGCAAGCTTCGCGAAGATCCATCGCATTGCAACAGTTTGGTCATTGAACAGCCCACCTTGGACCAAAATCCCTCCCTTTATCCACCCTTCTCGAGCCTTTAATTTCGGTCAATCCAGTCTCACCTCCCTCCCATCATGTCTACAGAAATGGAAGTCGACCCTCCCGTGGCGCAGGAGGAAGAGGTGGAGGTCCCCGCGCAGTCGGGCAACAATACCTCTGATCCGAGAACGCAAGCGTCAGCTGTTGCAGTGCGCAGTATCGAAGGATGGATTATCATCGCGACCAACATTCATGAAGAGGCCTCCGAGGAGGACGTGACGGATCTGTTTGCTGAATATGGAGAGATCAAGAACTTCAATCTCAACCTCGATCGCCGGACGGGTTATGTGAAGGTAGGTGTCTTTGGTTCTTCGTCTGCCTAGAATTCATTCTAGGGTTTTGCTGGACACATCTCTCTGTCCCTTTTGAACAATCACGCTTTGTTTGATCACAAGATGAATACTAATTGGCTTCTGTCAGGGTTACGCGTTGATCGAATACTCCACCCTCCCCGAAGCCTCAGAAGCCATCAAGGCTTTGAACGGATCCAAATTGCTGGACCAGACAATCCAGGTCGACTTCGCCTTTGTGCGGCCACCCCCATCGAACAACAAAGGAAAGAATGCTGGACAAAGAGGTGGCCGTGGTGGACGAGGACGCAGCAGGAGTCGCGATAGGAGTCGCAGCCCTGGAGCGGAGGAGGCTAGAGACTAGGCGTATTGTTGTGGCAGCATTGAGGAGTTGACTTTTGTTTACTCTACTTTATGACCTTGGCAGGCACCTTATATCTTGCTTTCTCTTGCCTCGTCGCGTCTAGCGTTTTGATTTTGCCTTTGTTTTCGCCCTCAAGGACTACACGGCTGTTGAGCCATTCAGACGACACTATGTCGGTTTGATGCGCGCATGTTGGTCACGGTTGGATGGGCGCCGTGAGCAGCAGTGGTTACAGCCGGCAATATCTCTTACGACAGTTTTATGCTCCTCCAATGAGGGTACTCGTGGGCTTGCAGCCAGAGGAGATATTTGCCGGCGTCGTAAATAATCAGCGATATGGTATGTGCAAAATGTTTCTTTCGGCATTCCGGCCCGTTTTCCCTTTCCTTTTCCCTTTGCCATCCCTCTTCTCGATTCTGTCTCTTGACCTCTGTCATCACTCCCGCTGCTGTTTTGTCTCGTGGCTTTCTCGAATGCTCATCGCTGACCTAGCTGAAGCAGGACCCCGCTCGCATGATATATCAAGCCAGGATATCCCAAAATTTCTACTAGTTCCAAGATTAATTCAGATGAAACCCACTGCCCATGATGCTCATGTGGATGGGGCTATACTTGTAGTATTCCTGCTCTATTGATCTCACCCTTCCGTCGTCCAGCACATGGGCAAGTCTGTCGACCTCACATCAATCATCCCAAGACCCTTAGTCCAGATAGAGTTCTGTAGATCCGAATGACTGCTATTGGTCATCAGATAGTGCGTGAGATGCACTCTATATAAGACTCTGCGAGGGATCGATCAGAAGGTCGATGGGGGCGGGCAGGAATCGGGCATGAGATCCCCGCAGCCCAGGCGCGTGATGGAATACCAAGAACGAGGCCCCGACGATCAAGCGTGGAGAGGACGAGGCTGGAAGGGAGAGGGCAGCAGCTGAGCTGCGGAGAGTCAGCCGGAGGGCTGAAAAGCACGGCGAATGGCTGGCTTAGTTAAGCCCGGGGGTCTTTCCTTCCCCGCAACGGCCGAACGTCAAAACTTATCGCTCAACGCCACTTCCTTCCCTCGTTCATGGCCCGCCCTGGGGACCATTGACTGTTGAAATATGCCTCATTAGATTCTCGCTGCTCGTTGGATGCTGGCGGTTTTCTGAGCTCTCTTTCTCCCCGCGTCTGTCTCGAGTTCTGCGTGCTTAAAGTCAATCCTCACGTATTGTTACCTCGAATCATTACTCGAACACTTGCTTATCGGTACCTCCGCCCTGGGTTACCAGGAACCAGGTCCAGAGCCACGAGACCAGTCGTTCACTGCGGGCTTGAGGGACTTACAACTAGAAAGCCTTCAATATGCGTGCGTTACTTGCTATTCATAGGTTGCTCTGCTTGTTTGCAGTCTTCTCTGAGACCAATGCGCTGGCGTTGCGGTCGCAGGACGTCCTTGCGCCATTGTCTCCAAATGCGCAGATTCCGCTGGAGGATTCAACCGATCCCCCGTCAAAGCAGCTCCCCCTTCCTGCTCCAGAGAAGCCCAGTGAACCGATCGGCTCGATAAGCCGCACTTACAACGATTTGCTGGATGCTCTCAATGTGATGCAGGATGACTATTTCCAGCTTTGGCAAGGTACTTGGCCTACTAGTATCGATTGGACTGCTGCCGTGCTTGGGACTCATGTCTCCGCCACCCTCTCCTCACTGACTTCTACGGCGGGGGATGTACTGTCGGACCTTCTTTCAGAGAATGCTAGCGGGAATCACAAACAGCCGGAAGATATAACTGAACAGTATTCGTTGGGATTTGAGAATCTCATTAACCATTATTTTGACCAAACCTCAGCCTTTTACTTCGGTGAGGATGCCTTTGCTGTAAGAAACCAGGCTTTCGATGACATGCTATGGGTTGTTCTGGGCTGGCTGGAGAACATAAAGTTCCAAGTGTTGCACAGCGACCTGCATTACGATGACCCCTTCTCACCCAACGAGACAACAAAACGCCTCTGGCATGGAACCCAGTTTCAGTCTCCGGCGGCTCATCGGGCACGTGTGTTCTATGGTCTTGCGTCCGGGGGTTGGGACGTTTCCTTGTGTAATGGCGGGATGATCTGGAGCCCTTACCTGACGCCCTACAAAAATGCCATCACCAATGAGCTGTACATAGCCGCTAGCATCGGGATGTATCTCTACTTCCCCGGAGACTTTATTGATTCACCCTTTATGGGAACCACATTGGACGATGAGAACTGGTCAGACGGTTACCCTCACGACCCAACTCATCTGCAGGCCGCCATCGAGGGATATTCATGGCTAAATGCCTCAAATATGACGGGTGCCAATGGCCTCTATGGCGATGGCTTCCATATCAGTGGTTGGAAGAGTGCCGATGATCCTGGCACGCGCAAATGTGATGTTCTCAACACCATGGTATATACATACAACCAGGGAGTGATCCTTAGCGGGCTAAGGGGACTTTGGTTAGCTACCGGTTTGCAGCAGTATCTATCTGACGGGCACCGATTGGTCAATGATGTGCTCTTGGCTACCGGATGGCCTGACAAAGGCAGTCAGCAGTGGGAAGGGCTTGGCCGCGGAGGTGTGTTGGAAGATGCGTGCGACTCTTCCGGGAGCTGCTCCCAAAATGGACAAACCTTCAAAGGGATCTTCTTTCATCATTTGGCCGAGTTCTGCCGAGACATCCGGCCGCAGGAATTGCGTTTTCTGGCCAGTGCCAACCGCACAGGGGACGGGGAAGACGGCTGGCAGTACGTATACGAGTGGCACCAAGCACGATGCCGAACATACCGCCCCTGGATCGAGCACAACGCCAACGCCGCTCTGTTGACCAAGAATGGCGACGGCAAGATCGGGGAGTGGTGGGGAAACACCACCGCCACCGACGTGAGTCCTCTGCCGCAGGGGGCGATCGACTATCAAAACTATGGGGCGCAGGGTGAGGACTCGGAGGCACTGACGGGACTTCTCCGCAGCCGTGGCTCTAAGGGCCCCAGCGAAGACGAGACGCTGGGACTCGATTCCACACGACAGCTGCAGGGCTGGGGAACTGCACCCGAGCGGTCGGGTTTCACAGAGCGCGATTATGCGCCGAACGACTACAACGATCGTGGCCGCGGACGCACTGTTGAGACACAGTCAGGAGGTGTCGCGGTGCTGCGGGCATTGTACCAGTGGAAGACAACCTCGTCGCTTGCATGATCCGGGTCATTCGGCCGATGGCCTAGCACTTGCTGTACAAATGGGTTTGGTTGGTTTGATTGTATGTTAGGGAGTTTCAGGAATACCTACACTAGGACCGGAACAGGCGTTTGGAAGCACGATTACCTTCGTCATCTGTAGGGCGCGGCAGCCATACTCACCTACGTACATACACAGAACATGCATGATGTCTTGATCAGCAGAACAATTTTGCCACATAAGCCGATGCCAGCAGTATGGCCGTGGAAGAAACCTCCGTAGCCTGCGTTAGTTGGACCCGGGGAAATGAAAAACCGGGGAAAAGCCACGACATCGACATCATCAACATCATCGCACATGGCAGGATCACCAGATTGACCCCATCCATCCATCCGCCAGCTCGGCTAGACAAGCGCGCTCAGCCAGCATTTTTACTTAAAAAGTAAAAATAAACCAAAAAGGGCAGAATCTACCCAACCCAACCCAATGGATGATGAGATGGGATGTCTTACTACCTGCCGATTAAAGTAAACCCTCCGGATAATATTTTTCCTTGACAGTACTTAGACAGGTATGACTCTACAAAGTACTACAGGACTTAGTTATTACGTTGGTTGGTAGTAATTCAATCCCTCCGTGCCGTCCCGCGTTGCTGCTGCTTTTTCGGCCCCCCGATCCGATCTTCCCCGGGGATGAGACCGGCCATGTCATTGAATTTTATTGCCATCTTGGATGGATATTAATTTACTTATGGGCATAGTAAGCGGAGCGGAGGGAAATGGTATGTGTTGTGCCGTCCTGTGCCGTGCCGTCCTGTGCCGTGCCGTGTTGTTGTGTTGTTGTCGTTGTTGTTGTTATGTGTTGTCTATTTGGATTAGTGGGTGAGTGGGTGAGTGAGATTTGGGGGTGTTTTTTCTCTTGACCGACTATATGATATAATGGCTTGCGGGCCGTAGTTACTACTGCTTACTTCATAGGTAATTAGTTTATTGATTGTTTCTTTTCTTTCGATTCTTTTCTCTTTTGGGAGAGGTTGGTAAAAAGGTGTACGGAGTACTCCGTGGGTACTACTGTAGTAGATGGGGGTTATTCTTTTTGGGGGCGTATATTTTATTTTATTCTTTTTTTATTGATTTTTTTTTTCTTTTCTGTTTTTGTGTTTTTTTGGATTGGGGGTCTTGGATGGAATACTTTGGCACTAAGGTGTATAGCTAGTAGTTGATGCATTGCAGTGTATACTGACTGGATGGATGGATTTGTGAACTAACTAGTTATTGAAGGAAATGTAAGGTGATTAGTTCGTTGGGTAAGTAGTGAGGAGGGATGATGATGATATCACCGGACAGGTTTAATCAATTATTCTTTCTTTCTTCTTTTGATTTGTAGGTAGGTAGGTAAGTAGTTATTGTGACTATTGACGGAGTATCTTGAGAAGTTGCAGCAAGTAACGTGATATGATGAAATGAGCTGGGTCATGTGTCTCCGTCTAATCCAGTCTCAACTATCTACTTAGTTAGTTGGTTGCCGTGTAACTGGATAAGATGATGTAAGCTGGAATGAAGTTCCTCCATAGTGTAACTGACTAGCAAGTTAGTTACCTACGTGACTACTCAAGTAATAGGTCAGGTGCTAACAATATCAGATGTTGTTGCTTGAAACCAGAGCAGGCTAATTGATTAGCCCTCCAGTTATCAACATACGATAACTGCTAGTAGGGGTAAGTATCTACGATGTACTCGTCTGTAGTCAGTGAGTATGTCTACTCTCCACGCACTTGATCTAAATGCCCAGCAAAGTCTAAGAAACTGTATAGATGCCTGTCCAATGGGTAGAAGAAACCACGCACTGCAGCTCCCAACATCAAACAGATAGATCGTCAGCCTTTCATGATATTACTAATCTGTATCTTTATAGTAGTTGGATAGTTATTAGTGATGGTTATTTAAACTCATAAGCGAAGTATGCGAACCCATACTATAGTGAGCTGTATTAAAGGACCCGTGGATACTCAGGCCCCATAATTGGTTTTGGAATGAAATGGGCATCTACTTTCGAGAAATGAAGGAGGGGGACCATGGGTGGAAGGGAAAAAGAAAAAGGGAAAGCCACTACGCAGACGCATTGACCTTGTGCCCCCCTTTATCCCTCCCCTGGTTGATGGTGGTGGACACCCAAGGTTCTAGGAGGAATCATTTAATTTATTCTGGAAGCACTAGGTGGAACTACATATAACAGCATAGTAAGTCTCTAACCACGGGGGTAGGGTGCCTGTGCCTTGCCGACCATACGATAAGGAGGGGAAGAATTTTCCATGGGAAGATGACCCCAGTCAGTAGTAGGAGGATGTTATGGACCTGCCGGATGGGTTTAAGGGGGCGTTTCCTGGCTGACCGTTTCTGCACTGATGGCTGCGTTGGCTATTAATTGGGTTGGGAGGAGGAGGGTAGGCGGCAGCAACTCAAGTCTATGTTATCAGGTCTCTCTCTCGCAACACACACACACACCACACAGACATTTTTCTCTTTGTGCAAGACGATCGGTGGCTTGAACGAAGGTGTACTGTGTATGATGGTGGATGGACGGAATGTGGTAGACTAGAGTAATTTTGCTGGACAGGTCGTCCTCCGTGCTCTGTCTGTGGAGAGTGGATACTCGAGGGATAATCAGACAGGTCTCCTAGTGTTAATTTCCTGTGAGAGCATTGAACAACATCTGAACAGGTATGGAGACGGAGGGTTAAGTGTCAGGGTCGCGATGATCCTTCATCATCGTGCCTCGACATCAAATGATCGGGTAAAGGCATCAAGCCAGGTAGAACCGAATTCGGGTTGGCATCATGACTGTTGGTGCTTGCTGGGAGTCTTAGCACTCAGCAGTGTCCTTATTAGCGGAGAATCCCCTCAGCCACTAGCCGATCCCAGATCGGCAGTTCTTTATCGTCACTCGCCAGGGTGGCATTGACCTTCACTGGGCTCATTGGAGCTTGCCCGGAAAGTGGGCACTGGACGGAAGAGAGAGGAGGGGGGGGTAAGAGCCAAGTGTCTGACTTGCGAGGACAGCTCGGACAAGGTGGTTCCCGTTGGGATGTCGTGGGGTTGCGGTATGTGGTATTTACATAGTCATGAATGAGCGAGAGAGAAGGGAACAAATGGATAGACAGGTAGGGTAGATAGACGATAGTAGCGGGTAGTAGGCAGGAACTAAGAATAATAATGCTGGCCGTCAACCATGGAATGGGCGAGTGGAGCAAGAAGGCAGTCACGCGGCCGCCCAGTCGTGGTACCCTTACGTCCTCGTAATCATTGGTATTCTTCCTCCTGTATGTATGGTAATATTTCGGGGAATCCTCGCTTCTCTCGGTTTCACCCGTCGCTTCGAAGAGCTGCCAGAGAGGATGCTTCATTGCAAGTTGGGTGCCTGCTTGTCCACTATGAGGTCACGGGCTTCTCCCCCCTCTCTTAGGCTACTACTTACACTACTGTATTCACAGTAACTAACTCTGACTGACTGAGACTTAGCCTTACTTGCTTAGGTGGCCCCCTCTACTGCCACTGTCGGACTGACGTGCCTACCTACCTGAATCGGCTGCCGATTCCATGTTAAGCCTCCTCATCTGCCTATCTTCATACGGCGGAAGACTGATCCCAATCCTCATCGGGCAGTGGACAACTGTCATAAGTCAGGACCCAAAGGGAGAAAAAGGAAAGGAAAGGGTTCGGCCGTGGTCCCATCCGGTCACAAGCTCTTTCGCGCGCGCTCTCTTTGCTGAGTGGGGAGCGCGACTGCATGCACCGATGCGGGGGTCAAGGAACGCTTTCCACTGGCTAGTTTGCACTCTGTTGTTCAACGCTCCCCGGTGAATGCATCCCCTCCATCGAAAACGGAGCTCGCTCACTTGCTGCTCAATTGCAGTTGGGGGCTCATCCTGCAGGTCTGCTCGACCTCGTGTTGATAACCGGATTCATAGGGGAAAAACGCGTCTAGCGAGGAGTGAGGAATAGCTCCGTGGTATAGCGTACCAAGCTACCAATCTTCGCGATGAGCTTCTCATCCAGTAGGACGCGGAACATCACCTTTGCAATGTTTTCGCCGACCCAGCGCAACTAATGTAGCCGCCGGGGAACGTTCCGGACATCGTCCGTTGGGGCTCATGTATGCAACTGCAGCGCCTTGCTGCAAATTCGCCACGATTGTACTAGCGGTCGAGCTGAGATGCGATCTGTTCGGTGCTGGTGGTTCTTTGATAGAACCTACGAGATAACTAGTCGCTCCGCCCGTGACGTTGACTTGTTTCAGTTGCATCCATCAGATCGATGGGACCTGTGTGTCTTGGTGCTGATAGCGCCCGACTTCTCCGTACTTTGTCAGAGCTTCCGGGGCTGAGCCTTGCATTCAGCCAGTCAGGTACATTGCAGCACGGGGAAGTGAAAGTACCATCCGCCAAAGGGGGTGGACAAGAAGAGACATGCTCCAAAATTTTAATCAAAGTATCAAACAAGACGAGCAATGGCAACAGACAGGTCCAATGAGAGGAACTTTCATGACGTTCTCACCCGTCATAGTTGAAGTTGCCCCGAGGATGAACCACGGTGAGCGGCGACGGTCAGCGCGCGCAAAGACCTTTAAGCTGCGAAAGAAAATTTTGCGCGCGTCTTCCCCGAAGCCTCACCCATGGTCGGGCAATTTCTTCTATTGAGGTTTAATTCCCACCATCTCGGGTCCCGTATCTGTGTGTTATTTTATTACCATTATCATTATTATTCTTAGTTTCATCGCGCGACCATCGGAAAGCTTCCTTCGTCCATTCCTAGCCGGGCTGGAGAATTTTAACTCACACTTGCCAACCAATTCTCAAAGCACCGACGAATGGCAATGCGCGGAAGCCATCCTATCCCTGTCGCGCGGTAGGTGAATGAATGCATACATGGCTCCTGCCAGTTAGTAGTGTTATGTTAAGAAGGCGCCATACGGGGTACCCCATACAGTCCAGGGGCAAAAAAGAAAAAGGGAAAATCTGAATCAACTTTCGTCACATTATCAACCCTGTGATTCGATGTTCCGATGGACACATGTTCCCGAAGCGCGGTGAATGGGGAGAGATGGATCGGCAGCCTGCACATCCTTTCCTGGTTCTGCTTTGGCTGCTCACTCCCACTCGCTCCCACTCGCTCCCAGCCATGATCCGTCAGAAGGTGTGTCGAACCCGCGGGAATGGATCGTCCTGCCCCAAGCCGTTGACTTCCTTTGTGGTGGAGCTTAAAATCCGACCAGAGAAGGAAAAGTACGCCAGCCCACCTCCACTACCAGATTGGGGGGGTTGGGACTAAAAGGACGATACATGATCATCCAGCACAAAGTACAACTCCCCCATATACAGATGCATCGTTTTTTCCTATTGCTGCAGGCAGACGATAGATGTGCTTTTTTGGGATCTCGTCTACGGCAGGCAAAAAACACTAGTGGTGGCAATTACAAGACTTTTGGTTGTAACTGAGGGGGGAGATACCTCCGGTTGTAGTACCGTCTAGGTGCATTATCAGTGGCACTAGTCAGGGTAGCGGGAGGCACGATGAGAGAAAGGTCGAGCGAAGCATTCCGATATTGATCCTGACCCCGTCTTGCGGCGATGGAGGCAAAGCCACGAATCCGATGGCTCGATCGACGTTGCATGACCTCCCCTGAAGACTTGATGAGAACGTTTTGACTAGGTCCGACTGACTGACTGTTATCGCCCCATTTGACGTACTGATACACTCTTATGCCCTTTTTGTGGCTTAATGATCCGCCGCCGCCTCGGCAATTGTTAGGAGGAGCTAAAGAGGAATGGAGAAAATGAAAGGTTCGCTTCGCTATGGAGCCATGCAAAATTCGGTGACTTTTGTGCCAGGGGAGGGGGGTGGGAAAGTGGAAAAGACGAGCCGTCCTGTTCATGTTGGCGAGTGTTGATTGATCCGTGGCAACAATAAGAACAACAACAAGAAGAAGAAGAAGAGCCAGAAGAAGGGAAGGGGGAGGAGGGAAGGGGAACCAAAAATCACATTGTAAAAGGGCCATCCAACCTCAGCAGCATCATGCCTCTACATCATCGGCCATGGATCATCGTCATACTACTAGCGGTGGATGATGAGGATCATCGCCATTCCTCCGAGAGCGACACCTCGTTGGCGGTGATGAGTGGCCCCCCCTTCAGGGGATTTGGGTTCCCGCTAAGGAGGGCAGCGGCGAACCAAGGGGCGTGAAATGCTGGGTCCGACAGTCACTAACCGAACCACTGCTGAGAAAGGAACAAGACGAACCCCTAAAAGGGCAGCGGCGCCCACCAACCACGGGACGCCAGTCCGAACGGAGGCCCTTCACCGAAACAATCATCTGGCGGCTTTTATTTGATGTCCAGAGAGAGAGAGAAGAGTAAGAGTGAGAGACAGATATCTTTTTGTTCTTTTTTAGTCGCTGGTTTACGTAGTTGTGAGGTGTTATGATGTAGTATCTGTTTGGTAGATGGGTTCGTTGTCTCAATGCGATTGGGCTTTTCTTTCACTCTACATAGTTATTCATGTGTCTCATGTCTCTTCTTTTCTTAGCCAACATCTTCCTTTTTTCCTGCCTGTCGTGTCTCTGTTTTTTTCGCCTCTCTTTTTTTACATTTCTTGCCTCCCCCCGTACCCAGGAATACGGTGATAATCATTCCAGTGGCGGCCACGAGTCTTCCCACTTTTAGTGTGGTGCCGCTAATCCCCAACTGGGTAAGACCGAGCCCACCGAGGTACCACTCCGTACTCTGTTTGTACCTCCCATACCAAATCCGGGTGAATTTCCTGCCCAAAAGTACAGCAGGCATGTACCCTCTGGGTAATTATGGGAATCGGTATGTTACCGGCTTCCCCCTGCTACCTGCCTAATTCACTCGAGGCAGGGCTGTGATTAGCCCCGCGACCAGTTCTAATTGTCGCATAAATTGTGGTGGATTAGTGTCCATTTCCCAGCATGACAATACTGCGTGGTGTTGGTATTTGACTGTTATAGTTACCCACTGCGACTCATGACTGCTACTACTACTAACTAACTGATCCATTGGTCTTGCTGGAGGAAGTACTCCGTAGTTAGTGTTTACTACTATAGGTACGTGGTCCATCGTCAGTCACGGCACTCTTCAGTAGTTATCTAGTTAGTAGAAGCGGTAAGAATAGAAGCAGCAAAGTCAGTAAGGCAAGTCAGTCGTGAGCTACTAGTAGTAGTAAGTGTACAAGTATTAGTAGTGGTGGTATAGAGTATGTAAAAGCGGTACGGATATCAACCGCAGCAGAAGAGTGGTTCCTTTTTGCAACTTTTCGCGATAAATTCTCCCCATTATTACCTACTCGGGAGTATTCCTATTACATACCAGATCTGCTTGCTGCTGCTTGCTGCTGCTGCTGCTGCTTAACTTGCTTTGCTGCTACTTGCTGCTGCTGGTCTTTTTTGCTTGCGAAACTGACCACGATAATTTATTATTTTATTTATTATTATTTCTTTCAAGGATTATTATTGCGACGAACTATTCCTACTTACAGCGACTTCCTCGACGTTCTCAATCTCCCTCTTCGCGTTCATACCTCTCTCTTTTTACTCATCTTGCTGGTTGTTCAATTTTTTTTAAGCTACTGGCTTTGCTCCTCTTTTCTCCTCTCCTCTCCTCTCTTCTCCTGTCTGTCTGTCGGATCTCTCGTTGTCCTTCTCCCTTTCCTCACCAAACCTCTCCTCTCCTCTCTCCACTTCCCTCCCTCCCCGACTCTCGCTGGGATTTTCTCTTAACCCAAAGAATTTAACACCCCCCCCTTTTTTTTCTTTCCTCTTTTAATTTATCTTACGTGACTTGAGAGGAAGTGTGATTGTGACACACACACACACCCACACTCACCCCCCCAAGACCTTGTCGCTCATCAATCAATCACTCAGCAGCGTTATTATTCCTTTCCCACTCGCAGCAACTACTGCACTAAAACACCACCGAACCCAACCCAAATCAGCACCAAAAACCCACCTCCCTCTTCCCCCCGTGTCCAAGTTTTTAGTCCGCCCGTTTTCGGACTGCCCAACGAACTTTCCTCAAACCCGGGTTCGACACCTTGGATTAATCCCTAATCCTTAATCCCTATAGACTGCCTTGCCCCAAAAAAGGAACAAAGGCGAATATAGCTGGCAATCACTTCAGGTACATCCTTGAATTGCTTTGTCCTGAAAGTGGTGGTTGTCTTTTCCCTCCACCTCTCTCTCTCTCTCTCTCTCTCCCCCTCCCTCTCATCTCTCGTCGCCCCCCCCCCCCCCCCCCCCCCCCCCCCCCCCCCCCCCCCCCCCCCCCCCCCCCCCCCGAATTCCAGTTCGCTTAACCCGGACCACGGCTTGTCGCTCTGGTCCCTCCTCCCTCACCCCCTCAAAGTCGCTCTCTCTCCCCTTTGACCGACTTTATTTTTCCAACTCTGCCTCCCCTCTCGTCTTGAAATCTGATCTGATCTCTTCCTTGAGATCTCTTCCTCCCTGGCAGCCGGAACCTGTTTGCTTCTTCCCAGCTGTTTTCGTTGTCCCTTTTTTACTTTTTCCGGCCCGAGAATCCTCGACGAAACAGCCGCCCTGGGAAACAACCCACCTCTCGCTCTTACACCAGCTACCTCCAGCGACAACGCAGATCTTCCCATCTGAAGTCATCGCTAGAGGTAGTCACAGCCCAGCTGTGAAGAAGATATTCAATTGCTGTGTCTGAAATCGTTTCTTTGCGGGAGTAGTTCTATTCCGTTACCCCTCGACCGTGGAAAGCCTGCCTCAGCGACCGCCCCGAGACTTTTTCTCATTCGCTTCCAAGCCACCGTCAACCACAGAAACTCTTAAATTCAACCACCGGCGCCACCACCAGAGTCTGAAAAAAACCATGGCGTCAACATCAGATGTGCACGGTTCTTCTCCTGTGCCAACCCTGCCCCAACCCAACGACAACGGTCGTTCACACATGTCTTCTCTCTCATCATCCTCCTCCATCTCCGACGCCGAAACCGAACGTAGAGGACGCTCAGAGAGACCTCGTATGGCCAGTCGGAAACCGAGTGCCTCGATACTAGTTCCACGGGATCATCCTGAAATCGAAATCGAAGAAGAGGAATTCCCCCCTGACGACGCGCGCGCCATGAGCCCTCGACGCAACTCGGCTGATTTGGAGCGACTGGGCAAGGAAGCCAGGCAGACATTACAAGAGTGAGTAGTCGAATGACAATTCCCCGAAACCTCCGGCCAAGTGACGCTAGAGACCAGAAAAGGGGGGAAGAAGCGATGCTAATGTGTTACGTGTTCTCGGCAGACAAGCCAAGGCCCTCCAGTCCTCCCTTCAGGCGCTCGCCGAACGTATCGAAGCCGTCAAATCCGACCATGATAAGCTCGAAAGCGAGAACCGATTTCTTCAAGACTACATTGGTGGATTAACCCGCAACATGACCAAGACCGAAATGACAAGGAGTAGCACCAAGGTCAAAAAGTCGCAGAAATAGCTCCGACGCCGTATCATCATCCCGGCTATTCGATACAGATAAGCGGTCGGGAATTCGCTGCCCTGGAGAAAGCGAACGATAAGATCAAACTTACGAAACCATAACCTTCTATGCGATGACCTTCACGTCTCATTCACTTCCATGAATTCTCGAACTTGGGTGAATGCCACACTTCTTCGCTACATACTGCAGGTGTCTCACATATGTCGGAATGGGACGCTCTTGGCTGCCGCGCATACTTGAGAAGCAATACGACACGATACATGCGCGCGAAGATCCGCTTGGACTTACTGCTTCGTGTCTGGGATTCCGAAATGACATCTGCGGCTTCATCAGGTGGAACCTTGTGCAACGCTGAAGCCCCGAGGTGTGAACTTTCGCAAATAGATCCCTTCCTTCGATTCGTTTCTTCTCTCTACCGGACGGACCTGATCGTGCAACTGGGACATGGCGGTTGATCACGATGAACAGCCCCATACCTTCACCTCCAACTTGCTACCCGTAATCTGCTGACGACGCTGGATTTGCTTCACCTATGGCCACCCACGTCAATGCGCTCCGCGTGTGGATGGGGGTTCGCAGAAGCTGCTGCGGTCGTGACATCATCCACACATGCCGGGGGTTACCAGGGAATTTGATCGACGCCTACCGTCTTGGCAGCGATCCGGTGCACGACTCAGACATACTCTTTTTGTGCTCTGGTCTTATCTTTCTTCTGTTCATATTCTGTTTTTTACCTTTTTTTTCCCTCCTTTTTCTTTTGATCCCTCTATTCTTACTTTCCTATCTGTCATATCATACCGGAGGCTTTGTGTATTGGCATAGCACGCGCGGCGTTGGGACACTTTGACTGGGAACCGTTATTTAGACTTGTTGTGTTCATTTCATCACTTTCTGACATTTGGAACCGCACTGGGCGCATTTGTTTGCAAAGGTCTGCAAAAAGGCGGGAAAGCATTTTCACGGAGCAGCCAATCTTCATGTGGTTTACATCATCCTCATCCTCTCCCCATCCTGTTCATCGCCGCCTCTCCTCCTTATTCCTTTTCCCCCAATCTCTTCCCACCCCATCCCCCACCGCCTCCTTTGCCCATCGACATGTATATTGGAATCGTCCCGGACTGACGATTCAGATTCGACTTGGTTTGATTTTCGTTTGGCTCTGAAGACATTTGCTTACATACCCAGAAGCGAGCGGTTGATACATTAAATGAGAAACAAATTGACAAAAGTGAGTACTACAGAATAGATTGTAGTTGTAACCGATGTGTGTATGTATTGCGACAACCAGTATTCCGTACTTTGTACAATGCATGCATACCTACGAAGTACCAAGTCATCACACCGCATTTTCCCTCCTCGACAGGACCCAGTCTAGTTGAGTAGTTGACAGCTCGACACGTCAATGGGGAAACAACAACCCACACGGGAGTCCTTTCATCAAACCAGAACACCCCCCAGAAATATGACCAAGAATTACCCCGTTTCATACCTGTCAACTAGTCTAGCAACTAAATTCTTCACCCATCACCGCCCATCATCGTCAACATATACCGAATTCGGTCGAAGATCGTACGTTTGTAGCCGCCCCGCCTCGTCTTTTTGAACTCGGCTTTGAGGATTCTTATTTACTTACTTACTGATTTCCTTGCTGGGAATAGTCGGAGAAAGTACGGAGTACTTCGGAGGATATTGAATTAGTACTATAGACTGGATCGGTGGTGTGGGGGGAGTGGATTGTCGTACTTATGTACTTTTGAGTCCCTGTTGAGGATGTGGGAATGTGTTAGGTGATGTGATGTCTTGGGTTAGGATGATAGTATGATGTGATATTAAGCTTGGGGTTGGGAGTAAGTATAGTCTTTTGCTCGTTAGGTGAGATTGATGAGTGGTTTCTGGTTTGGTGGTTAATGTTCATATAGGATTCATTGCCTTGGAATAACATCAAGTCAGTACTGATCGTGATATTCTATCTACAGCATGGGTTTAACTTCATAGTGCAGTCTGTATCTGATTATTGAGCTGTTGACTAGTAAGAAAGTATGATATCAAATAGAATGTTTACATGCTAGTTAAGTAGTTAGATTCTTATCTCAAACAAGTGATTTCAACTTCCTCGAATAGAATCGAGAGGAATGGAATACTCTCTCCGCCCTTTTTTCATCAAGCTATGTGTAGTAAGTTAGTCAGTAAAGTATCATGGAAGATCCATCCTTGCTTGCAGATTTGACCTAAGTATAATCAAAGTAGGTGGATGAATATCGAGCCTTACCTTTAACTACTCTATTCTACTTTAATAGTTATCTTTATATGTAAAGCAAAAATGAAAATGCTCTACTCTTACTGCTATTTGCCACTGTTACTACTAGCAAAACAAATTATTGTATATGGCTTAATGGGGGTTTCAAGTCAAAGTCAGTCAGTCAGTCAGTCAGTCAGTCACTGACATCTAACTATAACACATCACTCACTACTTATACTAAGCAGCAGCAGTGATCCTGACCAACATACTCAATTAGTAGTCCATTCATTCTACATCACCTACACACCAATTGAAATGTAAACATACAATCAAGTGACTCTACCTAGTAACCCCACCCATACTCAGGCACCTAAGATGCATACGTAAAAGATTCATACTATTTATACTTACTAATTAGTACGTACACTTGAGTTATAAGTAGTAGTCGGTCCTTACATGCATGTACATAAGTACTTTCTAAACCAAAAAAAAAAAAGTAAAGGAAAAAAAATTGGAAATGAGAACTTCTGATCTATACATAGCTCACTAACCCTACTACTAACCTCATTGAAGTCAAACAAAGGGGGTGGATGGAAAAACTCTACAATGCTGCGTGCATACTGCATTGTATTTTTGATCGAGGGATAAAAGTTGGTTGGATGGGGATGGGGATGGTATGCATGTATGCATGTGCGTTGTATGCAATACAGAAATATCATACAGACTCTCCCGGAAGGGGAGTCCGGAGTATCCGCGAGGGATGGAAAGTATGGCTGGATGAATGCATGCATGCATGTCGGTTATTCATAGAATGGGTTCGGTCGGGATTTGGTTCGTTTTTTTGGTTCGTACTTTCATCCTCCCTTCTCTTTCTGTATCATGTTCGGTGGAAAAGTCTACGAATGTCCATGTTTGATCATAAATTTCAAATTTCTTTAGCCACTGCCGGGCTTTAGATCTAAACTCAGCTAAGGCGACAAACAAACGCCGTACGTGGCACAAGGTGGGTAAAACCAAGAGAGTTCGGGAAGCAAGAGTCAACGTCCTGGTGGGAACTGACTAGGGTGGAAGTGCGGGTGGATGGCAAGGAAAGGTATTCTTGGGGGGGGAATTGCGACAATAGGCAAAAATCGAAATCATAAAGATATAAAAGGAAGCCCCGCGACAATCCGAGGACATAGAGACCAGACCGAGACCACTGACGGCATCAAACGACGCCACCAAAAGGCCAGCAGGGACGAAGAAGGCGACGAGAGATCCAATGCATGACTCCAAAGTTCATGACCTGTCAGCCAGTGAATGGCCGACAAAGCCCCATCCCTTCCGGGCTCGCCGGATAGAACGAACCCCAAAGCGCGCAATGGCTTCATCATCCTCTTCTTACCCCGGGCCTTCTGAGTCTAAGATCCAGATTGTCGGCCGGCCGACCCTATCCAAGTCCGGACGCGAGTCCTTTGTCATCTCTAATGAATTTACTCGGCGGGCTTCTCGCCCTCAGCGGGGGCCTCATCCTTCTTCTCGGCGGGGGCGCTCGCCTCGGCGGCGGGCTCGGCCTCGGACGAGGTCCACAGAGTCTACCGAGTGTTAGCATGATCCGAAAACACGAATGCGACCGTATCAACTTACCAGGTTGTCTCTGAGGAGCTGCATGATCAGGGTGGAGTCCTTGTAGCTCTCCTCGCTCAGGGTGTCGAGCTCTGCAATGTCTGTTAGCCTCCGGTTCGACGGTCAAGCAGTAGCGTCCACACGTACCAGCAATGGCATCATCGAAAGCGAGCTTGGCCAGGTGGCAAGCCTGGTCGGGGGAGTTGAGGATCTCGTAGTAGAAGACGGAGAAGTTCAGGGCGAGACCGAGACGGATGGGGTGGGTGGGAGCAAGGTCGGTCTGGGCAACCTCAGTAGCGGCCTTGTAGGCCTCGAGGGAAGCATCGGCGGCGCCCTTGCGGCGGTCGCCAACGGCGAACTCGGCAAGGTAACGGTGGTAGTCACCCTTCCTAATAGACGGATAGAAACACGTCAGTCATGGATCGCGATCGCATATCGCATCGAGAGTGGGAACAGCGTGGGTCGCAACGCACATCTTGTGGTAGAAGACCTTGGACTCGCCGCTCTGGGCAGAGGGGATCAGGTGCTTGTCGAGAACCTCGAGGATATCATCGCAGATCTTGGCCAGCTCAGCCTCGATCTTCTGACGGTACTCCTTGATGAGGGAGACCTGGGACTCGTTGCCCTTGGACTCTTCTTTTTGTTCGATGGAGGTGACGATTCTCCAGGACGCACGACGGGCACCGATGACGTTCTTGTAGGCGACAGACAGGAGATTCCGCTCCTCGACGGTGAGCTCTACATCGGCGGAGGCAACGACCTTCATGTTCTCGACCATCTCTGTGGAACAGGGCGGCCATGTTAGTATGAGACGAGACTCGTAGCCGCAAAGTGGGCGGTCGGAGAGAGGGACAATGACGCACCTTCGTAGCGCTCAGCCTGCTCGGCGAGCTTGGCGAGGTAGACAGCATCTTCGTGACCCATTGTGAAAGATTATCTGAATGAGAGAAGAGATGTTAGTGGGCGAGAATGCGAATAAATAGATTTCCGGATATAGAGTGCGGGCGACTGGGAAGAAAGCGCCACAGTAGAGCAGAATCGATAGTGCAGAGAAGCGAGGGGCAGGAGGCAGTCACAGGGCAAAAGTGAGGCTGTGAAGTCAAGTGGTGCAAGGAACACGGAAGCGATAACGCCTCCCCTCCTTTCCCTGGTTTGCCGGGAAATCCCCGTCATACGTATCAGGTCTCCCAGCATCATGAGGGCCGTTGAAGGAGGAAGAAAAAAACAAGTCGACTTTCCCAGCCATCACGACCCCTAATCATTACGCACCCCCCAAGACCAGGATGCATTGCGACGATCGGGGGAGGCTTGGTAACAGCGGGTGGTGATTCAGCCGGATCCTCCACTCAGCTAGCCGTGGACTGCCTGCCTGCGTTGCGTTCCCAAAGCGCAGTCTAGACGGGCGGTTATGGAGGGGGTAGGGGGGGGTGGAAGGGAACGAGGAGGATCCCTCCTCACACCCTCTCAACCTTCCCAACCAGACTCGGCCATTCAGCGCGCGTACCCATGTCCGGGATAAAGTCCTGAACATGCAGAGCCTCCAGCCGCCAACACCCCGCCATTTGCGATCGGGATCGCGGCCAGAAAAGGAGGGGAAAGCGGCGGATGACGATGATGGAGGGGGATGGGCATTGGGATTGTCTGGTACGCGGAAGAGAGGGGAAAAGGACACGGCAAGGAAAACGAAGAGAAAGGCTTACCTGAGATAAAGCAACAGATAGGAAAAGGTGTATTCTATAGTCTGACAAGGAAGAAAAGAGAGAGAGGTTAGAAGGGAATTGAAGGAAAGTAGAGTTGAATGGAGGAACAAAATTGGGGGAAGGAAGATTTGGGCTGGTCGAGTCCTGGTCTTTTTGTTTTCCTTTTTTAATTTAAGGAATGGGGGGGTGGGAGTATGACTTAAGCAGGGGGAGGGGGGAGGAGGGAAGGAAGTGTGGATGTGGATGTGGATGTGGATGGAAAGGGAAAAGGGTAAAGTACGGACCAAGAGGAGAGAGAAAGGACGAGAGTTGAGTTAGTCAGAATGACCGAGGAGAGAGAGTGTGTGTGGCAGTAAAGTAGTAGGAGAAAGAGAGAGAGAATGGAGAGAGAAAGTTGCAGGATTAGCAGCAGCAGTAGTAGTTAGAGGGAAGTTAGTTAGGCGGGAAAGAGGGGAAGAAAGAGAGAGAGAGAGAGAAGGAGGAGAAGGAAGAGGAAAGGGAAGGGAGAGGGAGAGGGAAAATGGGAATTGAATTGGCCTGCCGGAAGGGGGTGGGAGACTCGGCCAGAAAGGAGACAGGACTGACAGCCAGAGTTGGCGGTCACTACTTACTGGCCAGGAATCCCTCATCATCATCTCTCTCGAATCATCATACTATGAATGCTTCCGGGCTGTGCCTCCCCATACTTTTTGTCACTACTCACTAACTACTACTTCCCCCCTAAAGTCAAGTTAATTCAAATGGCCAGCCCATGATGGAGTCGGTCTTACACACACAGACACACCAATCTTTTCCCCGATCCCGGCCCCGACTTACTTATTCTACTACTGAACGATTATTGCTACTAATAATACCAAGAAATCAATCACAGGAATTATTGACCCTCTCCAGTGGGTTTCCTCCTCTTGTGACGGGGGGTGGAGGCACTGGAGGGAGACAGACAGACAGACCTACCTTTCACGGGGTAGAGACGCAGAGAATCCGAAAGAATCCCGCCGGTCATTCTTTCTGGCCTGCCTTGTCTGTGAGTAGCTACGTACACTGACGCTGCCTAGTATCCCAGAAACTTGCACATCATGGCTGTCTTTTATGATGCCACCCCATCCAATGGCATACATACCTTGGGAATGAATGTATTGTAGACAGCAAAAGAAGATCCTCTTTACGGACAATGGTATCAGAGGTAGACCATCAGCTCCATCCATCCATCTATCTATCTCACTCAAGAATGAGATTGGTCTCCTGAGTGTCCAAGTCTTTGACGCCCATCTCTTCTTCTCATCTCTCCTCATCCTGTCGGGTCTGGCTTTGTGTGGTTCGGTGGGCCCTCCCAGCGTCATCCCTATTTCACCTCCGCCAATCGTCCCGCCCACCACTGAGATCCCAGACCGTCGCCGAACCAGATGGATTGGCAGCGGATCATTATTGGAAGGGGGAAAAGAGGGTCAATCCAAAGACGATAAATCAGTTGCTAACCGTCGGACGGCGCTCGGGACCAGTCTATTCTATCTAGTTAGTATATTATCTATCTAGTTCGAGGAGTCTAAATTAGTGATTATTGATTGATGAATTGATTGAACTGGGTCAAGGGATTGCTTCTGGAACTTCGGGGAATATTACTGTGTAATGATGGCGCTGAACTATTCACTAGGAGGCGATCCTATAATCCGCATATCATCGTCATTCAGGGATTCGCAGGAATGCTCCCTTTGCCTAGCATCCTCAGAAGATAGATAAATGAAAGAGGCAACTCTCATTGCAACTGGATACACAACTTAGACTCTAAGTACAGAGTAAAAAAGTAATAAAATAACCATACCATGGAAGGATCAATGATAATGCGCGTAAATTCCAAGTCCGTCACCCATCTCAACATCCCAACACCGCCCCCATAATAATAATAATAATAATAATAATAATAATAAAAATCCTACCAAATTAGGCTACCATCCCATCCCCCCATCCGTCACTTGACACTCACCTGACCAGGCCACACGCTGACTCACCTCATCACATCACATGATCCCTCCATGATCCCACCCGGCAACCAACAACGACGTCATCCGCTCCGGTCTCGACACCTTAGGTAATCATAGCCTGCCAACCCGGTTGCATTAAACACTTACTCTTAAGTACCTGACAGTCTTACTACTCTCTCTCTCTCTCTCCTCATTGAACCTTCCATCCATCCATCCAACGAATCTGACAACCACCTGACCTTTCATCCATAACTTACCTACCTTATCTTCCATCCATCCATCAACCCCAAAAGCAAATCCATAACCATAACCATGCTCCGCCAATCCATCTCCAAGTCCTCTACCCGCCTCCTCACCACCACCACTACTCGTTCCTTCTCTGCTCTCGCTCCCAGAATGGGTGCTGGCGATACTGGTGCTCCCCGGCCGGGCGGTTCGCAGCATGCGTACGTTATTCCCCCTCTACATAGTCTCATCAATACATACTGTCCTATGCTAGATGGGAGCATATGACATCATCATCATCACCAGTACCTAACGCTAACTGATTGAAAACAGTGACTCGTTCACCAAGCGTGAAGCCGCCCAGGAGAACTTGTATGTTCACGAGAAGGAGATGGAGAAGTGCGTATACCTGACCCCACCCCCTCATACTACTATATCTGAAGGGAAAGAAAGCTAATGATCTGTGATGTATAGGCTCCGTGCCCTGAAGGCCAAGCTCAACGAGCAGCGCAAGCACCTCGATGAGCTGGATAAGCACATGTACGTTTGACTGTCTTCCTACCTATATGGTCATGTGCTTGAGTGGATAGCTAGCTAACAATTATATTTATAGTGACGAGTTCACCAAGAACCAGGGCGGCGAGCAGAACTAGATACCTAATATCTTTTTTTCTTTCCCTTCTTTGTGTCCCTATCATATGGATGATGTGATGATTTGCTACCATACCTACCATACCTACCTACTTATACCTGTCTACTCTACTCTACTATTATCGGAATACCGAGCGAAATCGAATCGAATCGAATCAACTCAACCAGACAGGTTCACTATCAGCGTGGATACATAACCTTATGTCTTTTTGATATGATATCACATATTGTGTCTACCTACCTACCTACCTACCTACCTACCTTACCTACATACACAAATCATGTAATCTCTCCTCTCTACACTGTACAAGACAATACATAGCATAGCCGGAATATCTACCAACACACACATTCGTGGCGATTATCATTATTCCCATTTCATTTCATTTCATTTCATTGTATGGATTGCATTGCATTGCAAGACTCCTCCACCAGCACAACAGCAACAGCAGGATGAAACAACAACAATAGTAGAAAAAGAATCAGACGTAAAATAGAAACTAACAACCAATCCTAGTTAATAAAGAAAAACCATCCCGTAACCGTTGTTTACAGAAACCCAATCCACATCCTCTCTTCACCTTCAGGTTTAATTAACTACCGACGTCCCATGTAAGAGCGATAGAAATCATCCGCCGCACTACCACCCATAGTAGAGCTACCCAGACCATACCCGAACCGCGAAGAGAGAGACTGGCCGGCCTTCTGTGCGGCGTCGACCTTGGCCTGGAGCTCGCTGGTGCCTTGGTCGATGACTTGCAGTTGCGCAAGGTGGGAGTTGAGGATGCGGACGATTTGCGAGATCTATATTCCATCATCCATATATTAGCACAAGCATTGAGGAATTTGGGGGGAAAGGGGATAGGAAACGTACCGGCTCGTCAGCCTTGTTCGTCTTGCTGAGAGTCGAGGACGCGCCGTTGACTTCTTCAATCATGCTGGTCAGATCCTTGCCCATTTCATCCAGGCGCTCGGAGAGCTTCTCGGCCATTTTGTATCTGTTTTATCATGCTGTTAGCACCGTAGCAAAGGTTCATTGAAGGGTTATTGAAAACGTACGTCCGTTCACGCTCCTGGTCAGGTCCCTGGAGGGTCTCGCCCGGTCCAACTTGCTTCGAAATCATCTCGTCCACTTCACGCTCATACCGGTCGAGCCAGGAGCTGAGCTCTTCCTGCTGGCCCTCGACGGACGCCAGCTGGCGCTCTACTTCTTGGGTCGCGCGCTCGGCGTCAACCGTGCTGCCGTACAGTTTCTGCACCTTGGTGCCGTTTTCAACCAACATCCGATCCCATTCTGCTACCTTCTCTGCTTGCTCGCGGAAGTCCTTCTGGTACTTGGTCAGATCTGTCGCCCACCGGGTGATGATCTCGTCCATGGTCTTGTTCTTCAGGCGGGACTGCGCAGGGGGGGTTGGGCCAGCGGTGGAGGCACCAAGGCCAATTCCGCCCGCGGCGGTGGTTGTGCCGGTTGTGCCTGCTGTGCCGGTGGTCGCTGAAGAAGTGGCGCCCGAGGTAGCGGTCAGGGTGGGCTTGTCGCCGGCCGTCGTGGCAGAAGTGGCTCCGGCAGCAGTGCTGGCTGGCTGTGTGGACGGGGTGGTCTCCGCGGGCTTACCGAACAAGCCACCAGTGGCTGCCGCAGGTTGTGTCGCGGGAGCTGCGGTAGCTGTAGTGGCCGGTGCGGTTGTTGCTGTGGACTTAGCGCCACCGAGAGCACCGCCAAACAAGCCTCCAGAGGGAGCGGGTGTGGATGAGGGAGTCGCGGACGAGGACGCTCCACCTAGGGCTGGGAAGAGAGAGGAAGTCTGTGGCGCAGCGGACGAGGCAACTGGAGTCGTAGAGGTTTGAGGGGTCGAGGATGGAGTTCCCAGAGAGGGGAAGACTGGCTTGGTGGCATCAGCTCCAGATGATGGGGCCTTGAAGAGAGAAGATGTCTGCGCACCAGCTCCTCCTCCTGCGGCGGGGGTTGTCGTCGTCGATGGCGCCCCCGGTGCCTTTCCAAAGAGGGTGTTTGGAGTGCTGTCATTGGTGCCTGTTGCAGCCGGTTTGGCGTTTCCGAAGAGGCTGTTTCCCGTCGAAGGCGCCGGATTTGTGCCAAAGAGAGGTTTCTGAGCTGTGTTCGCCCCACCGAAAAGACCCCCAGTTGATGGCTGTTGCGTAGTGTTGGAGGTAGAAGTTGTGGTGTTTGTGTTTGCGTTTCCGAACAGCGAAGGGGTAGTGGTAGCGGGGGCTGTAGCGGTAGTAGACGACGGGGCAGCCGATGAGGTGGTGGAGGTAGTCGAGGTCGCGTTTCCGAAGAGACCGCCAGGCTTTTGTGCTGCCTGTCCAAAGAGCGTCTGTGTCTGGCCAGTCGCGCCCTGCGGAGGAGGACCAGCGGGCGTTGTGGACGAGGCATTGCCGAACAAAGAACCTCCTGTTTGACCGGGCGTAGAAGTAGCGTTGCCAAAGAGACCCCCTGCAGGCTTTGCGGCATTTCCAAAGAGTCCGCTCGTAGCTGTCTGCCCCGAGCTACCAGCTTCGGTCGACTTGTTGGGAGTCTGTGATGCGTTGCCGAACAACGGTGTCTGACCGGTGGCTCCCGGCTTGCTCTGAGCTCCAAAACTGAAAGGCGACGAAGTACCAGTGCCTGCTCCAGTTCCACTGCCAGCTGCGCCTCCGAACAAAGAAGGCGAAGAAGTGCCGCTCGTCGGAGCTCCTACATTTCCAAAGAGTGTGCCCGAGCCAGCGCTTGAGCCAGTGTTCGTAGCACCAGATCCAAAAAGACCTCCCTTGTTCGCGCCGCCAGGGGCCGAGTCGAAAGAAAAGAGGTTGGACATGGTGTTGGGTGGATAATAACGGGGATTAACAGGGCTGCCCTGGAGGTGGGAAAAAAAGACAAAACAGTCAGTCGGGACGGGTTTCGAGATGAGGTGAAGGTGAAAGCGAACCAACACTTACTGCGCCCGGAGATAAGATGCCCTATGGAGACAGAAAAGTCAATTCGGGCTGAGCGTAAAGGTCGCGCCGTGCTCGTCCAAACACAGGCAAAGCAATCGACAGTGGATGTCTTGAACTATGAATTGGAGGTCGATTGATCTTCTTTGCTGGGCCGCGCTTGTCGCGGCTGGCGGCTAGCTTAATGCCTGAGGCATTAAAACATACACTATGACAGACTACCTGCTGCCTTGGTGCCTTACTGCCTCGGATGATGTCGCCTGAGCCTCTGGGTGCCTCAGGCCACGTTCGAGACTCACATCGAACCCGACGATCAGAAGGACAGCATCGTCCCCCCGTTTCATATCCATTCTCCCCTGGCTTTTCGGGCTCAGACTCTTACACGAGCCTCTGCGTCCTTGTCTGCATGATATACAATTTCCAATATTGATTGCTCCTGATGTCCGAACGGATTTCCCGTCCGTCCAGTCCATACTTGGAGCCCCCGAGGAAGAGCGTGGAGTTGGAAGACCCGGGGGCTCAGGATTCCAGTAAGCAGCACAGTCTAGCACTGGGATTCCAATGGCTTGGAATTAACATCTCATCTACAGCTACGAACAGTGATGACGAACACTTTTCAGACGCCAGCGAGGGGCACCAACGCCCTGAATCCCACCCGCCGTCCGGCCGCGCTTCCCCTATCCCCTTAACCCGTGTGGAGAAGGTCGACGAGGAACCCTCCCATGGGGAGGTGCCTGGAACCGCTGCCTATGAAATCAGGGACCAGGATGCCGTTCCCGACCAGATTGAAGTTATCCCGGAGGGCTCACGCAGCAGAAGCGCTTCAGCGAGCGGCGAAAGGCCCGTAACTCCGACATCAATTCCGCGGACAGTGGTTGAGAAAGTCGACTTAGACCAACCCAGTCATGGCGATATTCCCGGCACCCCAGCGTATGAGAAAAGAAAAGCAGATGCAGTGCCCGATGTGGTGAAGAAGGCGTCGGATTCAGATTCAGATGAACCGTCCCCCATACCGGGGTCCTTCGAGGCCAGTGCGGCCGACACCCCTGTTCCGGAGACGCTGCTCTCCCGCGTGGAATCCAACGAGGACGATGTCGAAGAAGAAGGTCCTGTTGCTCACCAGCCAAAGCCGATTGATCCGGAGCCAGACCACACCGAGACCGTCCCCGATGCACCAGGTAAGCCGGATTTCGGTTGAATTACGACATGAAGTTTCAGGGACGATTGACCAATTCAGATTCGCCTGCAAGCCATCGAAGTCACACCCGCCGAGAATCGTCAGTAAATGACGCCGCAGCCGTTGACACGACCGGTGCGGATGAGTTTGACGATTTCGCCGAGGAGCAAGAAGACGACGACTTTGGAGACTTTGACGACTTCGACGATGGCTTCCAAGAGCCCATGGAGGCTGTCGAGGACGAACCAGCAGAGATACAACCCTCGCAGCCTCCCACACCTCCTTCAGTCGTGCGCACGCCCTCTAGTCTAAACCTTCAACGCAAGAAATGCTAAACTTTGTTTCCAGCCCCCGCTCCTCGACCTTGACGCCATTCCCTCCCTTGCAGACCTTCACACCACCCTCTCCGACCCCCTCGACCGCCTCTTCCCCAGCACCAAAGACACCGTCAGCCTGCAGCCCCTCGACCCGATCCCCAACCCCACCGCTATCTTCAGCACTGAACGCTCCCTCTCCCTCTGGTCTCAGCTAGTGGCCCCTCCCCCACTTCAGCCCCAAAACTGGGTGAAATCCCGCATCCGGCGACTCTTCCTCGTCTCGCTTGGAGTGCCCGTCGACCTCGACGAGATTCTCCCAGCCTCCAAGCAAAAGAAACTCATCCTCCCCTCCGTCAACCTCGACGACACACGTCGCTCATCCACCCCACCAACCGCACACTCCCGCTCCCAAAGCCTAGCAGCCAAGCGCGACAGCACACAAAGCGGCCCCGGCAGCCCTGGCCCCAACCAACAATCCAGAACCCGTACCTCTCGCCGACGAGAACCCTCCCCGCCACCTGAACTGGATCTCCCGGCCGTACACCGCCTGTGCGCAACCACCGATGCAGCCCTAGACGGCTTGACGGACGGAGAACTCCGCGGTCATGTACAGGAACTCGAGTCGGCAACGTTACGTGCAAGCTCGGTACTAGAGTACTGGTTGAAACGATTGGACGGACTCGTCAGTGAAAAGGAGGCATTTGAAGGCGTGATAGAGAATTTGGTTAGTCATGCTAGACGAGTTCGGAAGTGAGTGTGTCCCATACCCATCGATATGAATTTATCATTCTGTGACTGTGATGATTGTGTGATGTGATGTGATGTGATGTCTTGTGATGAGATGTTGATAGATCGATTATAAATATGACTATTAATTTAATGATTATACATATGTTACTTTCACCACATTTTTCCCTCAAGCACGGAGTCACACTACATATTATGCTATTAATAGTATGGATTGTATTTTCATGTACAATCCGCTTAGTTGTACCTGTTACAGCAGTATGATTAGAGTATATTCACTTAAATTTGCTATTATCGGTGGTGCTACCACTCATTGATCGAGTCGCTACCTGGACACCACCAGTAATATAATATATCTTTGTGTATTAGTATTGGATCCTATCAGTGTAACTGGAAAATGGAGTAAGGGCAGGACTACAAAGTCATACTAAGCTACTATGATTAGACTATTGACTTGGCTGATAGTACGGTACTGGTAAGCTATATATACTACCAGATCGTACGGGATGGTGGTATGATACAGCTCCGTCCAGACAGCTTCTTACCATTTACAGTACTTGTTACTGCTTAAGAGTATGAATAAAATCATCGACAACCAGCATCGGTTTCCGAATTGCTTTTAAAAAAAAGTAGTATGCACAAGAAGAAGGGAAATTAGAAACAACAAGACACCGGGTCCCCGCCCTCTAGGTACAAACAAACGCCCTAGATCAAACCTCCCATGGCATGACAACTTGTTGAAAGAAATCAGAAAAGTCAAGCAAAGAGGTTTTGAAGACGAAGACCGGCAACTATCTAGGTACAAATCGTGCAAAAGAAAAAAATTGGGTATCTCATACAGGACTCAACGCTAGGAAGTAGCGTCGTGGAGAAAGGAAAATCAACAGCAGTTGGCGAAGGGAATGGCAAAGAACCATGAGAAGAAAAAAGAAGAAAAAAAAAAGTAGGAAGAAAGGAATGATGCTGGTATCAATTTGGAACGAAGAAAAAGGCAATTTTGTTTTCCTCCATAAAATCACAAAGACAAGCATGCAGGCGCAGGCTAATCCAATGCGATCACCTTTGGTTCGGAAAATCGGATGAGAGTGTCGGATGTTGTGCGCTCGCATTTGGGCCTTTGCGACGCAGGAGACATAGACGCCGCTGAATCACTGGATTTACGCTTCGGGGGCACAGACGTTGGAGCAGCGGCACTCGCGGAGGTCCGGTCTGTGGATGAACCAGTGTCTGACTTCACTGTCCATGATCCGTCCCTTTTGACGCGGATCGAGCGTGCGTTCTCTAACCGGTCCGTATGAGACAGTTCTTCGCGAATGTTGAAGAGAAACCCATCAACCAAGAGCATCTGAGGGCGCGCGTCTTGTTTGCAGATAGGGCATTTCCAGTCCTCTCGGAGGGTACGTCGCCCTGACTTCAAAGCACGGGTGGTGATGTAGGTCTCATGATCGAAGCATTCTTGATGAGTGCACAAGCGACCGCGGACAGGCCGGTTGAAGACGCGGGCAGTGAAGGGGTCGACGAGATCAATGACCAGGTCTTCACTCATAATGCTGACTTCATCATCGGGATTAGGTGTGAGCCGCTTTTGAATTTGCTGCAGAGATTCCGATGCAGGAAGGATCTGCGCCGCATCCAAGGCCGACACCAGGTCAGAGATATTGAGAATCTCGACGGCCGCAGCATATAGATGATCCCTCATCTCGGCCGGGCTGCGAAGGAAGTGCATGGAGACCGTATTGGGACCCTCACGTAGTTGCTCCGTGATTTCGAGGGGTATATCTTTGCCATTGTGCTGCCGACGCCGGGCGAAAAGTTCCACCTCGTTGACGAAGATGTAAACCACGCTGGGCCAGCATGTCTCGGTAGTGCACCAGATGTGGTCGTCTATAGTCTTTGCTGACGGATTGATTCGAATACATCGCAGGCGATAGATTCGCTGGCCGTTTGTCATGAAACGGGTGGCTTGCATCTTACCACCATTTTGGTCGATCTTCGCAAGTCGCTCAACGTCCGACTTGGTCAAATTGAACGTCCAGTCGAAGCGGCAATCCCACTGGCCCTGGCCCAGCAGAGTTGGTTTGGCGGCGAAGGAGTCAAAGTATTGATAGAGCGGGGTCTCTTGCGGGCCGGCAGGAGTGTGAGTGACAAGTCGATTGACAGGACCACGCAGATGGGCCTGATGCAGTCCGTCCCGCAGCGAATGAGGTCGTGGGTTTGACGGCGGAAGTGGACCTGGCGGAGGCAAAAGCGGAGTGACCATTGACGAAGGAGAGGGAAGAGGGGCCCCCTGATTCGGCATGCTTGCCTGCGGCATCAGCCTGTACTGCGTCGGGGTCTGGTTGTTCGCCTGCGCGGAGCGTGAGGGGCGGCCACGTCGTCGTTGTGTAGGAGCCGGAGCCGGAGCCGAAGCCGAGGCCGAAGCTGGAGTAGGAGGTGAGGCAAGAGTAGGAGCGGAAGCAGGGGCATGCGAAAGAGGGGACAGACCAGGAGTAGCCGCTGTTGAGGGGACTACTACTGTCGGTACGCTGGCGCTGGCGGGGCGTGGCGATGCTACTTGCGAGGGAAGTAACATTGTTTGTGGGGGAACTGGGCCTTGCGGACGAGTATTTACGGGGCTCGGGTGAATGGTCTGCGCTTGCGAAGGCACCACCTGTGGCGGATAACTCGTCGAAGGAGGATTATGGTGGTGATATAGTTGATGGTGGTGAGGCATCTGAACCATGCGAGGCGAATGCGGGTTGTATGTCTGCGAGGGATATGCCATTGGAGCAGGAACAGGTCCGTTTCCAGGCATCGGAACGTGAGAGCTCCTCCTTGGCTCATATACGGGCACAGCTGATGTTGGATGCTGAGGGAGGTGAGGGGGTGCGCCTCGGGGAGACCCCACCGGTTGCGAGTGAATGTGAGGCTGATTTGCAGTGGTTGCCTGGGGAGTGGAAGTGAGTTCTTTGTGATACATGGAGAGAATGATGTCTCTCTCCTTTTTGGCGCGCAATGCCGACACTGGCTTGGGAGAGTCCAAACGCTCGTCTGTGTATTTGGCGTCTCGATTGAAGATGTCAAAGAGCTTGTGCTCTCCGTTCTGCAGAGGAAGTCGACGATACAGTGCCAGGAAGATGTTGTACTGCGTGACATGTGATCGGATGTCGAAAGTCATTATGATTTCCTCGATTAATGGCGGCAGACCACGCCTGCGCGTGATCTGCTCAAAAGTGTCCCATCTTTGAGAGAGGAGGACCAAGGAATTCATGACCTGCGTTAAAGCATCCCGCCACCAGGGAAGGGCTAGCAGCTGTTGCATTGGTTCCGGGAAATTCACACAGAACAGCAGAAAATCTCCGGAAAGTCGGCGGTTATCCACCAGAAGCTGCTTGACCACAGCAAATCCTCTTTCCTGCTCCGGACCGAAGCCTGGCAATGTGCGCAGTTCTGAGGGAGAGTAGGATGCCATGCAATACATCTGGTGCAGAGCCAGGTAGACGGGGTCATTGTCCAGGAGGGCGCTCTGCAGCAGGCGAACGCGCGGCGACTCAATGACCTCAGAGATTATCTTGTTGCGAGTCGCTTCAGCCGCAAAAGTTTCCAGCTTCTCCAGCCACTGTTTGCACAGCGTCCGGTCTATCGGCAACATAGGAACCGGTCGTATGACAGGCGGTTGCTGGAAATCCTGAGACAGGTGCGATGCTGGTATGCCTATCCAGGAGCCCGTTTGAGGATGCGCCGAAGGATCGCCAGGTCCAGGCAGTTGTGGTCGCGATTCGGCATTGCCAGCTGTTTGCGATTGATCTCTGGGCGTGACGGTGCCCCCTTGGACTGGTTCCGGCAGGATGACGGTATTGGCTACTGTTGCAGGTGTCGGTAGTCCCCCGGACAGTGGTTCCTGTGGCCGATTGATTATGGACACTGGCGGGGTATCTCCCGTCGGAGGGGAAGGCAGAGTTGCTAGGGAGGAACCAAGTCCAACCGGTCCAATCGTTCCTCCATGGCGATCAATGGCACTGACCGGGCTGGCATGCGAACGGGGAAGGGTGGGATCGGGGGACGGAAGCGCGTTGGGCTGAAAAGTCCGCGGGGGGATAGCAGTCACGGGGGTCGGCGTCGCTGAGTTTAATGGAGTCGAAGAGGAGATGGCGGTGGTGATGCTGCGAAGCGGGGGTAGAATTGGGGCACCGCGATTCGGCTGAGCTTCCTTCTCATTCCTCCCGTCTGACCCCGAGATGGCCTGAAGAGGGTCAGGTTGAGCCATCGGACCGAGGGGAGGAAGAGGGGAAGGGTTCGCGGCGGCGGCGGAGGAAGTGATGGTGGAGGAAGAGGGCGAAGATGAGGCGGCGGTGGAGGTGAAGGTGGAGGTGGCCGTAGTAGTAGTGAGGCCGACGGGCGGCTCACGAGGAGGCGTTTCCCGCCGACGCGTCTGCCGTGGACTCCCAACTGGGGGCCCCGAAGCAGCCGACGTTGCCGTAGAAGCCGTACCCTTTGTCGCAGCACTCGCAGTACTAGCAGCTGAATCGGTCGTAGACACACTGGAAGGGGATATCGAGGTGGTGGAAGAGAGGTGGGGAGATTGAGGAGCAGTGGCAGCAGCAGCTGCTGCTGCTGCACCACCACGCATCCAGGATCGTTGCACGCCTCCTAGAAATAAATGGGCAGTTGAATTGCTTGACTTGAAGCCAAGATTCGCGGGATCGCCGCGGCGATTACCGGGCGGAATCATCCTGGCATTTTCCGGGGAAGAGAGCAGGATGGAAAGGTAATTTGTGGGGTGGAGGACTGGTTGAGAGAGGAAAAGCTAAAAAGGAATGGAAATGTCCTGGCGCCGATAATGCAAAGGAAGCGTCTCGAAGAACCTCCTCCTCTTCTCCAAAAAGGCGCGCCAGCCAGCATCGACTAGGAAGGGATTCCACTTGACTTGGAAAGAAGATGCCGTTGAGTCGGGGAGAATGCCTCGGGGAGAGAAAGTATGTGGATGTACAGTGGAGATATAGATATATAGATGTATACAAAGCAGTGAATACGATAAAATTCTACCGTACTTACTGCAATAACTGCATGAGATTTTAGTCGGGACAAAAGTACGGCGACGCGATCTACCCGTATGTTTTGATCTGGGTGGAGGGGTGAAGAGGAGAGATTCCCACTTAATTTAAAGTAGTGATAGATGTACCTATGGCTATAGTGATGAGAAAGTATATAGATCAATGGGAAGCGATGGGAAGTAATCGCGACACAAAGTACGGGGGGGGCGAATGACAATTCAACAAGCAAGGTTATCCCAGTGCATGATTGATGATGCGATGATGGGAGATCCCGGATTCCAGCTTGGCTTACGGATGCAGGTATGAGCACGAATGAGCATGAATTTGGACATGAATGAATGGGTGAATGCCGAGGGCAAGAGGGACTGTGAGTGAGTGTGATTGAACAAGGTTTTTGGGGATAGTAGGAGCGTGATCTGGCCTCTGGTGTTAGGGCAGCAGCAGCAGCAGCAGCAGCAGCCATGCAGGCCAGCATGCCATCGAATCGAGGATTGACGTATGGAACTGGAAGAGAAGAGTCATTCCTGATCTGAATCAGGTGGAGAGAGTGTATTGACTAGTCTATTGTACTGACTAGTACTTCATTGTAAAGGGAAGTCGTACGAAGATGTAGTAGAGGAATACATCAGACCGCGAAAACATAGGATTCCTGCGATCGACCTGTCCGCCTGTTTGTTTATAAATAGGCAATGGACTGGCGCTGAATGCGATGCATCGACTCGTTGGCCATCCGGATGCGTGACTGATCCGAGCATTGGAATGTCGATCCTGCAGGGGAGGCCATGGGAACTAAAACATGTTCGCTCGGTGGGTAGTGTGTTTTTCTTTTCTTTTCTTTTCTTATTCCTGGGCAGTGGTAGTAATTAGTAAGTTAGTAAGTAGATGAATCAAGAGAGGGAGAGGGAGAGGGAGAGGGAGAGGCAGTGAGAGTGAGAGTGAGAGAGATACAGCATTGGTGCCCTTGGGACCCATCGTCTCCCAACTAGACTACTAGTAGTAGTACTCCATACTGTGTAGTGTATACAGTACGCAGTACTAGTTGGGAGGAGCAAGAAGCAAGAAGCATCTACTTAGCAGTGACCCAAGGCTTCATAGTAGACACCATAGAAAGTAGGAGTAGCTGGCAAGTAGCCTGTCAATAAGGCGAAACTCAACCTGACCGGGCAATGGCCTCACTTTCTCTCCGGAAGAAGGGGCTGCCAGTTGTCGGAATGAATCCGTTGGCTCCAGTCAAGACAGCGAACAAGTCAGCACATGCCACTCATAGTCTGTTTCATACTTCTTGGTTTGTAGTGAGTGCCAGTAAAATGAATGTGGTGCCTGATGGGGGGAAAGGATGATGCTGCTCATAAATTTGAAAAAACAGGCTGATTTGTTAGTGGTAAGTAGATAGTAGTAAGTAGTGGTGGTGGTGGTGGTGGTCGTCGTCGTCGTTTAGTAGTCCATAATATAATAATAATAATAATGTTCTGGTTCTGGTTCTGCCCAAACCGGTAACGATTTGATATTTATTTGGTTGTCCGTATCCCCCGCTTCCATGGTTTACTTTGCATCGAGACTTTTCTCTCTCTCTCTCTCTCCCTTTCCCTTCACTCATACTCTGAACTCTTTTTTCCCTTTTTCCTTTTTTCTTACTTCATTTCATCTCTATCTATCTATCTCCTTTCCTCTCTTTCTCCCTCTCTCGGATACATCAACCTTTCCAAACCGATCCACCCCAAAAACTAGCCGCCTTTGTTAGCGCCTGCAAGTCTGCGGCCGTGATCTGATTTGCTTTGCGGGTTGCAGTTCAGACCGGCGGGGATCGTCGCTGTCTTATTATCGGCTTCACCTGCTGCGGTTGTCCATCCTCGCTACAGCTACTTAGTACTCTTCTGTACTCCCTCTCTCCCTTTCCTCGGCCTTCGTCTTCGTCGTCGTCGTCTACACGTCAGACCGCGAATCGCCCTGCCAAAGCCTGCTTCGCAGCGCTGCATCAATCCTCACCGAAGAAGCTCTGGCCATCTTCATTTAATTAATCCTTCGAAACCCTCGTCGACGGAAGCTTTGTTCAACATAAACCCTCCTCCTACTATCCACTATCATCCACTATCCACCCACTATCTACTTCTCCTCCTTCCACTTCCATCGATTAGCTAAAATCCGGAACTCCATTACCTGTTCTTCCTCATTTACTTTACTCCATCTTCGCTTCGCCGCGTGCCAGATTCCTTTCCGCCCTTCCCCCGTCACTCTTTAACTTTGTCTAGTCACATTCCTCTGACCCAACCTCCATTCTCTGGACTTGGATCGCCTCTCATTCATTCATCTCCGTCCCCAATTCTGCTTTTTTAAATTACCCGGGAGGGCGGCTTGCCCCATGTCCGGCGCAATTCCTCCCCTCCCATCTGTGTTGTCGCTCTCTTGCTTGCTTCCCCCCACTTGGGCGCTTTAACCGGCCTCCCTTTCGTCATTCCCCCCTTCCGTCACATCCTCGCTTCCACTTTCTTGCGATCCTCGACCAACTACCTGAGGGTACACAATGGCTCTCACAACGCCTCCTCGTGGGGTAACGCCTGGCGACCTGCTTCTCGTCGTTCGTAAGTAGCAATTTCTTGCTCCCTACCTCGGTCGCTGTGTGCGACCCCCGCCCTGTCTATCTTCATTCCGGTTGGTTTGCTAACCATTTGTGCCAGATGATTTCGATGCGCGTGGCCCTGATGAACTCACCCTGCGCCGCGGAGAGAAAATTGAGCTCGTGGAGCTGGATGATGGGTTTGGAGATGGGTGGTACCTAGGCAAGGATTTGAATACGGGCTCAACTGGTCTTTTCCCAGGAGGTATGAAACCTGAGCGCTTATAATCCGCACGACCGCATGTGACTGACTGGAAACTTCTGTTTCTGTTCCAGTTTACACCACTACTGCCCCGAGGATTCCCACCAGACAGCGGCTAGATGCCGATGGCATGACCGCACTGGCCTCAGAGGCCGGGACGGATTCCGAATCGAGCCAGTTGGAAGCCACAGACTCCTTCTCATTTCCCCAGAGCGGCGAATCCACCCCGCATGTTTCTCGCCATACCAGTGCCTCGGACCTGCGGGCTCCAGAATTGCAAGGGGGTCCCGTCGCCCCAGCGCTTTCTCCGAAACAGCAGAACCGCTCCAGTTCCTCTCCTCTACCAACCTCCACTATGAGCATCGATATCCAACAGTCAATCCGACAGACCATGGACGGCCACCATGCCAATGGCCAGGACAGCCCCGTCATGAACGAGACGCTTAGCGTGATCGACGAGCACATCACCGATCTGAGCACGCCGCGCCATAGTGTGGCCGGTCAGGAATCCAAGCACATGAACGACTCGGCCAGCGAGTACAGTAGCCACTTTGAACACCGGATGTCGTATATCAATGGGCACGAAACTGATGAGGAAGAAGAGAACCAGCCGCGTGAAGAGCAGGTCCGGCAGTGGACGCCTGCAGAAACGGCCAAGCAGTTGCGGCAATGGGGCATCGAGGACAAGCACTGCGGCATCTTTGAGGATCAGGAGATCACGGGCGATGTCTTACTTGACATGAACCAGGACTTTATCTTCATGAAGGAGTTTGATTTCGGCGTTATGGGGCGGCGTTTGAAGACCTGGCACAAAATCCGAGCATTCCAGGACGAAATCAAGGGCGTCAAATCCTCGTCTCAACACCACCCTCGCGGTTCAGTGGCTGCTGTTCCCGCTCCTCCAGAGGAACGGGCACTCAGTCGCGCCAGCCATACCGGCCCGCTCCTGCCCAGGATCCCGACGCTGCGAGGGTCGAGCGGCACCCAGCACCCCCGCCTGGTCAGCAGCAGTATGCAGAGCAACACCAGCTCGCCGATCACGCCGCAGACACCCAACTACGTGAGCCATTCTCGCCGACCGTCGGCTGCTTCCATCCGCGAAATCAACCACTCCCGACGCCACTCGTCCATCGACACGACGAACCGGTACTCGGGTGCTCTGGAAGGGTCGCCAGGCATCGGCAAGCGCAGTTCGTTCGATCGCGGCTGGACTCTGGCCAGCGGCGCTCAGCGGCTGCCTCCTCGTCCTGGAACTGCAGCCGGCACGTCTCACCCACAGGACATGGGTTTCTTTTCCCAGTTGAGTCACCGCCCCTCCAACTCGAATGGGTCTGATCCAGCTGTCTCCGTCACCGACGAATTGGACCGGGGCTACTTCTCGGGGCCCGAGGGAGACATGCGCAAAAACCGGCGCCTACAGAAACGTCAATCTGCCGCGGGCAGTGCAGACTCTCGGGCATCCAACATGACGAATGACCAGCTCCGCGTTGGCAAGCGCCATTCGCGCATCGGCAGCATGGACTCGATTCGGGAGTCTGTCAAGCAGATGAACCCTCCGGCCAAATCGCACACCAGCCCGGTGCCCAAGGGCCGTCTCCGCAGTCTGAGCACTCGCATCGTTGACCGCCGCGGACAGCAATCAGCGCCCGCTTCCGCAGTGGAGGATCGGCCCAGCGGTGCGTTAGGCTTGTTTGGTCCGCTGTTTGGCAAGTCCGACAGCGATTCCTCGCGCTCGTCCGGGGTACCTTTGCCTCAGCTCAAGGGTGCGGGACCGAAATTCCGGCGTGCCATGGGAATTCGTGCTTCGTCTGACGTGGCGCCGAAGGGAATTGATACGTCGACGCCGCCGCCGGCCTCTCCCGTTCGGGACAACGATCCGTCGGCGCGGACCGGGTCGACCACCCCTTCGACATCCAAGAGCTCGGAGCGACACAGCACCGATGGGTCAAACAAGACCGCCGAGGGTGGCCTGTGGCCTCGATCCCGGCCGTCCGTCAAGGCGGGTGTCAAGTCCAAGAAAGACACGAGCGCGTATATCCGCGGGCTGGAGAAGAAGTCGCCACAGGAGCAGATGGTGGGATGCGATTACTTCGGGTGGATGAAGAAGCGGTCTTCCAACCTGATGACGACGTGGAAACCCCGTCTGTTTGTCCTGCGGGGGCGGCGTCTGTCGTACTACTATTCGGAACAGGACACGGAGGAGCGTGGCTTAATTGACATAACTGCTCATCGAGTGTTGCGCGCAGACAATGATCCCATTGTGGCCCTCCATGCCACCATCACGGGATCGACCGCATCGCCGACTCCGGCCAGTCAGTTGAGCCAGGGGGATGGAGCTTCCTCCGATAAGGCTGCTGCAGAGGCCCTTCGGGCGACCAAGGGAGCTGGTGAAGGGCCGTTCTTCTTCAAGCTAGTGCCGCCAAAGTCAGGGACATCACGGACTGTTCAGTTTACTAAGCCAGCCATCCATTACTTCCAGGTTGACAACGTGCAAGAGGGTCGACTGTGGATGGCGGCGTTGATGAAGGCGACGATTGAGCGGGACATGGCGCTGCCGGTGGAGACAACGAACAAGCAGCGTACGATCAGTCTCAAGGAGGCGCGGCTGATGAACCAGCGTCCTCCAGCGCTGATGACTGGATCGCCTAATACAGCGGATGTGGCTCCTCCCGAGACAGAGACGGAGGCACAGGACGGCTTGACGGATCTGGAGCAAGATCGCCAAGGGCTGTTAATCCAGGGGGTGTCCATGGATCCGGAGACAGAGCCGGTATATGTGGATGCGGAGGAGCATCGATCGGCGAGTCCGGTCGCGATGGACGAGGTGTCAGTTCCTGGGTTGCAGCGGAACTCGCAGTAATTTATGGAGGATTGATTGATTGATTGATTGATTTGCTTATATGTGTGATGTATTGCTTTTTACCGCAGCCTGGTTGGCGTTTTATGTGATATACCCCGCTTGAATGTTTTCATATGTGAACGAGTCTACCTATTTGCCTGTCTGTCTGTCTACTATGTAGAATGTAATATGGATGTGAATGTTGAATGTGAAGTCTTTATCGTTATATTCTCTAAGCAGTATAAGCGACGGGGATCGGCGGGCCGCGTCACTGATCACCGCCGTTTCATCCTCGCTTCTTCTTCTACTTCTTACAATCCACACGATGATGGCTTGATTGAGCGCGTTCGACCCCGTTTATTCTCCTTGGTTTATTTCTGTTCTATTCTATTCTTTCTTTCTTTTATTCCTATTCCAGTCACTCCTTTTCTCCATCGATGCGGTTCTCCCTATGTCCCTCCTCCGCCTTCTCCTCCGCCACGCGCTGGCCATCCTCCTCCCGCTGGCCCTGACCAGCACTGTCTATCTCTATCTTTACCCCGTCTTCCATGGCTGCGCATTCCCTCTGCCAGAGGAATCTACCTCCTCTCATCTCTCGATTCCACACCTCTCTCCATCCTTCCTCTCCACCCTCCGCCACCACCTCTCTCCCTCGTCTCATTCATCTGCGACCTCTCCCATCTTCCGCCTCCTCGTTCTCGCCGACCCCCAACTAGAAGGCGACACCTCCCTCCCCAAACCCCACGATCAACTCCCCGCTAAACTCTCCAACTACTACGCCGACCTGTCCTCCACACTCCGCACAAGACCCCCTTCCGCCACCCTATACACCCTCCGCTCCGTCCTCCGCTCCCTCGTCTCCACCGATCTCCCCCGCGCATTTCGCGCCGCGCGCAAACGCCTTGACCTTCTCGGAAATGACTACTACCTGGCGCATATTTACCGCACGATGCACTGGTGGAGTGCGCCGTCGCATGTCACCGTGCTGGGAGATCTAGTGGGGAGCCAATGGGTGAGTGACGGGGAGTTTGACGAACGTGGTCGGAGATACTGGGAACGGGTGTTCCGCGGTGGTGTGCGGGTGGATGATGAGATTACCGGGGAGATGGGGACGGAGCTGCTGGGCACTGATAATGGAGAGTGGGCGAAGAGGGTTGTGAACGTCGTGGGGAACCACGATGTCGGATATGCGGGGGATGCGAGTCCATCGCGAATTGAAAGGTTCGAGAGGGTGTTTGGAAGGGGAGATTGGGATATCAAATTCACCTTACCTTCTTCTGAAGAAGGCAAAGAGGAAGAGGAAACAGTTCCAACAATTCACCTCATCAACCTCAACAGTCTCGTCCTAGACACCCCCGCCCTGAGCTCTGAAGTCCAATCAGCTACATACGAATACCTTAACAGCCTACTAGAAGAGCGAAGCCCATCCGTCTCTTCATCTCCGCGCGGGAAAACCTTCACTCTCCTCCTAACCCACCTCCCCCTCCACAAGAAAGAAGGAATCTGCACTGACGCCCCCTTCTTCGCCTTCCACGATGACGACGACTCCAAGGGCGACGCCGCCGGCAACCCGCGCTTCTACGCCGGCGGCCTCAAAGAACAGAACCACCTAAGCCAGTACGCCAGCGCTAATGCTGTCCTCGAGGGCATTTTCGGGATGAGTGGGGACGACACCGTCCCCGGAAATGGCTGGGGGAGGAAGGGCCTTATTCTTACGGGCCACGATCATACGGGCTGTGATGTGGTGCATTTCGTGAATCGCACTGTTGCTGAGGTAGATGGAGATGACAAGAACGAGGATGACGGTGACGCACCTGGCTGGGAATGGGATGCCCTGCGCTATCAACACGGCATCACAAGGGAAGGGGACCTGGGCGTCCCCGCCATCCGGGAAGTGACTATGCGCTCCATGATGGGAGAATACGGAGGCTACGCCGGACTCCTGTCGGTGTGGTTCACCGGTACGGAATGGAAGTACGAGATCCAGATGTGCGCCGCAGGCGTGCAGCATCTTTGGTGGGCGGTGCATGTCGTCGATGTGATTACTTTGGGATTGGTGGTACTGTATATCGGATCGAGTATCATTGGAGCTGGTGCTGGTGTCTCTGCTGGGAAGGATACCACCAGAGCGGATAAGAAGATCAAAAAGCAATAACTTACATACATACATATTAGTTATAGTAACACTGAATCTATATAGATCATCCGATCGATCAATTCATATCATAAAGACATAAAATCTACAATTACATCATGAAACAAGTAGGAGAGAAAAAGGTGGACAGGTTTAAATTTTTTATGAATCCTTTTCATTTTTAGAATGTTCTTAGGTCATACTAAAAAAAAAAAACCGGTACCACCCCCTTTGTTCTAGAAGCCCTTGGTATCGCTTTTTTTTCTTTCTTGCTCCAAATTCCAGGTTTAACACATTTTACATGACAACACCGGAGTTGGAGGCAATACGCTAGACACAGAATTAGTATATGTAGACATTCCGAATGGAATGGAAATTGAAGGCAACTTACAGGCCAAAGCTCAGCAGCCTCCTTACCAACGGGACCGGTGATAGCGGAACCCTTCATCTCACCCTTGGCGTTGACGATCTAGATTCAACCATTAGTATCCATATGCCACAATCCTTCACCACATGACGGAAATAAGGGACAAGGGTACGTACAACACCAGCGTTGTCCTCGAAGTAGAGGTAGATACCGTCGGGGCGTCTCCAGGGCTTGCTCTGACGGACAACAACAGCGGGCATGACCTTCTTACGGAGCTCAGGCTTTCCCTTCTTGACGGTGGCCATGACCATGTCACCGACACCGGCAGCGGGGAGACGGTTCAGGCGAGCACCGATACCCTTGACGGAGATGATGTACAGGTTGCGAGCACCGGAGTTGTCGCAGCAGTTGAGAACGGCGCCGCTGTAAGGCAGAAATTAGCTGTGTTCATTCTTCTTTCATTTGTGTTCGAGTCCGTTGTGTAGGTTGTATATCATGGTTTGGGGTGGGATATCGAGTGGGGGTATTGTGTGTGTATTGCTCGAGTTTCGAATCAAAATATTGTTGTCGAGATTGATTGATTGATTTTATATCGAATCGCATATTTCTCTCGAAGATGGGTGCGTGTATTGATTGGAACGGAAAAGAAATTTGGAGTTGACATACCAAGGCAGACCGAGGGTCATCTTGAGCTTGTTGCCGGAGGCACCACCGCGTCTGTTGAAAATATTTTGTTAGCTTTAACATGTCCCCTTGTATCCCATGTATATCAGATCCCTCCTCCATCTCCATAGATGTATTCCAGCTCTTTCCCGGACTTCCAATCAATCCTTCTTTCCGCCTCTTTTCAAAGTCGTATGTGTCGCATATCGAACATGATCCGACCGTGTAATTTCGAGTCGAAATCTCCAGCCAGCAATTCATCCCCATCCCATCGCTCCTCATCTCATCTCATTCCCGCAGCTTTTCAATATCTCCGGTCCGGATTCCTTTCTCCCTCTCTCTCTCTCTCTCTGTCTCTCTTTCCCACACATTTCCCAACAACGAAAAAGAATAACTCACCCTCTCGCAGACATCTTGGCTGTGTATCTAGGGTTGTCGGATTAAAACTGGGCGACAAGGGAAGGGGGACGGACGGACGGTCGAAACGGGGGGTGTCGTCGGATTCAGAGACTTGGTCGCGGGTTTCGATTTGCTTCTCGCTTAGTGTGCGTCGTGGGTAAAATCTTGGCAGTGCTCTCCCATTGGCTGGTTTATGCGGATAGAGGGTTGCCCTAGAGCTAGTCTCGATACAGTTAGGGTGGGTTAGTCAGGGATGAGTCAGGATGTCTAGACTAACTACTGTAGTTAGCTATCTTTGATAACCAGCTATCGTACTTCTTATCTGGGGTGACAGTTGTAGTAGTTTTCTCAATATGGAATACATTGGTAAATACACGTTATTGAATCTGCTCTAAAAATACTAGGCATTCATGCTCTCAAATATGTAATAATAATATGGTAAGAAATCAATTCGTTCCCAAACACCATCCGCCCGTGCCTTTGCGCCAGTCGTTCGTTTGTTCCCATCTTGCTCGCTCAGCTTCACTCCTCGGTCTTGCTTGCTTCCTCGGTCTTCTCTGCTTCTGTAGCTCCTTCGGCTTCCGCACTGGGCTCCTTCGATTTAGCCTCACCCGACTCGTCCTTGGCTGCCTCTGGTGTCTTGTCCTTGGTCTCGCTCGGCTCACTGGCCTCCGCAGGCTTGGTCTCCGCTTCTGCCGTATCGGCTGCCTCAGTTGTCTCTTTCGCAGGTGACTCTTCTTTTGCGACAGGCGTCTCTTCCGTAGCGGGCTTGTCAGCCGCAGGGGTCTCCTCGCTGGGCTTCTTCTCTTCTTCTTCAGCCGCGCCTTCAGGCGCAGCGTCGGATTTCTCGGTTTCCGGTGCGGCCTCGCCCGCATCTACCATCGCGGTGTCTTCGTCCTGAGGCTTGGGAGACGGTTGCCGGGAGATCGGCGCCGATGCTGCCGTCGTTTCTGGTCCATCCACTGCCATCTCTGTCTGCTCTGTCGCGGAGGCTTCATCTGCTCGGGACGGCGCATCGGCCGCAGAGGGGGTGGCTTGCGCCTCAGTCTCCGGCTCCGGAGCCTCGGTCATCTTCGCATCACCAGTCGTATCCATGTCATCGTCAGGAATGGAGGATGCGTCCTGTGGCGTAGCCATGCCGCTCTCCAGCCCCGAATCGTTCACATCGAGATTCCGATAGTTGACCTGGTTTCTCCGCTTAAGCGCGTTGGGTTGCCGCCGGACGCCGTTGGCCCCAGCCAGCTCCTCGTCGTCACTGTCGCTAAGCTCTCCGGGCTTCTCAATGTACTGATCGAAGCGCCGCTTGGTGAAGCGCTTGTCCTTGTTCTCGTCCTCATCTAAATCGTCTAAGATGGCATCTGCCTCGTCGTCCATGCCCTCCACGAGAGGCTCTCGTGGCACCTCGGTCATCTGCACGGAGGGCGCAAAGGCAGTCCGCTTGAGGTTCTCCACGACCTGTGTGCGGATCTTGTCCAGGTACTCCTTCGTGTTGGCATTGTCCATGTTGGACGGACGTACATCCAGCTCGTAGTCAGGTGCGAAGTACTAAGTCTGTTAGCTGTGCATAGTCATCACCTAGAAACTATAACCTACCTCGTAGTAATCGTTGTAAGGAAGCTCTGCCCCAAGGGTGTCACCAACGAGAATACCGGTTTCGAAGGCCCAAGTACGTGCCACATTTCGCATCGTATAACCGCCACCGCCGAGAATCATGGTGGGCAGGTTGAAGCTCTTCACAAAGTTCACACAGTTCGCGTGGCCCCGCATACTGAGGTTGAAGCATCCGAGACGGTCGCCCGAAAGACTGTCGCCACCACACTGCAAGACCACCGCTTCGGGTCGGTACCATTCCATAACGCTCTTAATAACGGGCTCAAAGATGCTCTTATAGGAGATGTCATCAATGCCATCGCGGAGAGGGAAGTTGACGGCATAGTGCTTGCCCTGACCCACTCCGATATCGCGCAGCTCACCCGTACCTGGGAAGTACTCGCCGTACTTGTGGAAGGACACCGTCATCACACGGTCGGTCGTGTAGAATGCCTCCTCAACACCATCTCCGTGGTGGACATCGATATCAACGTAGAGCACGCGCTGCTTGAATCGCAGCAGCTCCAGGATACCCAGAACGATGTCTGTGTTGCGTCAGGGAAGGCCCAGCATAAGGTATCGCAAAACTTACCATTTACATAACAGAATCCACTTGCTTCACTTTTCTTCGCGTGGTGAAGACCGCCGGCCCAGTTAACGGCAATGTCGCACTTGTTGCGGTTGAGCCGGGCGGCACCCTCCATACTACCACCCGCGCTGATACCGCAAAACTCGAAGAGCCCATCGAAAACGGGACAATCGTCTCCGACATTGTACTTGCTCTGCTCCTTCGCGAAGGAGTCCATGTTGTCCGGTGTAACCTTCGAAAGGAAGTCGATGTACTCATCCGTGTGGAACTGGGTCATTTCGTATTTCGAGGCCGGCTTCGCCCGCTGTAGACTGCGTCAGCGCTACTTTCAAAAGACGTTGCAGAGATCCTGTAACAGATCCATTAATAACCATCCATGATCACTTACGTATATCTCCATCTTCTTATAAAGGCCATAGTTCATGACCAAACTGTGAGCCATCCTTATGCGATGAGGCTTCATCGGGTGTCCCGAGACATAGGCATAGTTTCCCACATCGGAATCGTAGAAATAGGCGACTTTCTTATTGCGATCCGCCGACCCATTGGTAATGGGATCCAGAGGCGCGAGTGAGTTACTCATGTCGAATGTCACTGTGCGAAGCACACGGCGATTCCTCACTCAGACCAATGCGTAGGAATGTCGCTTGAGCGCGGTGAATTCTCGGGGGGTGTATGAGAGCGTCAGATGGAGAGAAAACAGGCAGATGACACTCAGGTAGACAAGAAATATAATGAATAGGACAGATAAAGTGCCCTATACGTGAGTCAGTCGAATAACTCTCACAGAGTGGCACTGATGGAGTACATTCGCAATGGCCGGGGGCGGACAATAAGTGATGGGGACCGAAAGGAAGCGAAGGGAGACGCAAAGGCGGAACCCCGAGCTGCTCCACCGCCTTCGTCAGGCTTCTTGGGAAGCTCGACCGTCACTACTTACACACGACCCAGTTGCGCCTCCATCACCACCTGCTTCCCATCTTCAGCTTTTGTCTAACCTCGCTTACTGTTCCATCGGAACCGGCTCGAGCATCCCCTTTGCCTATATAACATCTGAGCTTTTCCAATCACCGAATTTGCTCTGATACCCCCACTCAACCTTCCGATTGGAGCTTCCGCGTAGGAAGTCATCCTGGTCTCATCTACATAACTAACACTCAACCAACCCCCCGTCTCCACTATGGATCGTTTGCATCGCATGCTCCAAGCAGCCCAGGGCATGGGCGTTGGAGGGAATAATGGAGTGAGTAACACTTAGGCGAGCAGCGGACATGGCACTCGTATCTTCAGAGGGTTTGGGGCTATGGGCTAATGCAGGTACAGGATATCCCCAACCTCATCGATAACTCCGAAACCGTCCACATCTCATCGCTCGCTCTGCTGAAGATGCTAAGACACGGTCGGGCTGGTGTGCCCATGGAAGTCATGGGTCTGATGCTGGGAGAGTTCGTGGACGAGTACACAGTCAGGGTAGTCGACGTTTTCGCCATGCCTCAAAGTGGTACTGGTGTCAGTGTCGAAGCCGTGGACCCTGTTTTCCAAACGAAGATGATGGACATGCTGAGGCAGACTGGACGGTAAGCTCGAAAAGTATCCCGCGAACTACCCGGCTCATCCTGACGCATCATGCTATAGACCAGAGACCGTTGTTGGCTGGTACCACTCGCATCCTGGTTTCGGCTGCTGGCTTTCGTCCGTCGATATCAACACTCAGCAATCCTTTGAACAGCTCACTCCCCGCGCCGTTGCCGTGGTCGTCGACCCCATCCAGTCCGTCAAGGGCAAGGTCGTCATTGATGCCTTCCGTCTCATCCAACCACAGACTGTCGTCATGGGCCAGGAGCCCCGCCAAACAACATCCAACTTGGGTCATCTGAACAAGCCGTCCATCCAGGCCCTCATCCACGGTCTTAACCGCCACTACTACAGCATTGCCATCGACTACCGCAAAACCGGTCTCGAGGAGAACATGCTGATGAACTTGCACAAGCACGTCTGGACGGAGGCGCTGCAGATGAAGGACTTCCACGAGGAGGGCGAGCACAACGTTGAGCGCATGAAGCAGCTCGTCAGCCTCGCCGAGGGCTACGAGAAGCGGGTCAAGGAGGAGACCACGCTCACCAAGGACCAGCTTAAGACCAGATACGTCGGCAAGGTCGACCCCAAGAAGCGTACGTTTATCGCTTGCACGATTTGTTATTTTGTTACTGATCAGATTCTCTGCAGACATCGAAGATGTGAGCCAGCAGTTGATTGAGGACAACATCGTAGCCGTCTCGCGGCAGATGATTGACAAGGAGGCCTCGGTGGCACGGCAATCAAACGGCAAGGAGAATGGCACCGGCATGGAGGTTGATGAGGAACTATAGAGCAACCATACCATAACATATATTTCCTAATGCCATTTCAGACTCCCTGAACTCAGGTTTCATGTACAGGACGGTCATCTGGTCTTGGCAGACACATCAATGAATGACGTTATATGTATCAACCCGGTATATAATCACCAGTAGTAACAACACCAAGTGATTTGAACCAAATAACAACAAAAAGTGTGCACTTTATTGTCTAAAAAATCTATGTATAGGTATATGTGCATCTAACTATATAAGCAATCCCAGTGAAAGCAACCGATCTAAACTCCCGCAAGGCCGCAATATCATATCATGCCAAATGAAGACCCAAACCCATCACATCATGATCACATCTCAATAATCGAGGTACGGATTGAACAACGGAAGTGGCGGCGGCGGCAGGCCATGCAACCTGGCGAATTCCTGCGCCTCCTCTAACTCCTTCTTCCGACGAGCCTTTTCTTGCATTTTCTTCTCATGCGCAATAACCCCATACGCATCTTCACTAAACTCCTCCCCATCATAATCCGTCCACCCCCGTTCGGGGCCCCACGCAATCTTTATCCCGGCCGACCTGACCTCATGCATCAGTCTCTTCATCAGAGCACCGCTCTTCCGTACAGATGGCCAGCCATCAAACTCCACGTATTCCAGATTCGGCAACCTCTCCAGGACACCCTTGAGCAAATCGCCCGCAAAATCCGTATAATAGTCCTTTGAGATGCGGAACCCCTCGAACACCGGATGCGATGGATCGACTTCGACGAAGACTTTGAACGTGCGCATCCGCTCCATCTCCTCCAGTCCCAGACTGCGTGTGATGGTCCATTCGCTCGGTGGCGCTGTCCAGCTCGATCCGAGAATCAACTCGACTGTGGCGATGGAGGGACGGTACCGCGGGGGTATGGCCCGGATGGTTGGCATACGCGAGTAGTCCTGGAGGTGGAATAGACGGAATACTTGGGTGGAGTAGAAATAGTCTGAGGCTTCATCGTGCATGCGCCATGAGGTCAGGAATAGCGCGACTCGGTGGGATGTGGGGGAGATGGGAGGGTTTTTCTTCGACGAGGCGCCCACGCTGCCTGTTAGGCGCGGGTTACGTCCGCGTTTCGGGGTGAAGAGCACGAAGTGATAGACGCGTAGACGGATTTCGGAGGGAAGGTCGAAGAAGCGGAAGGGTTCGATGGGGGGTTTCTTCGTACGTTGCTTCTTGATGGGCTTGCCTTTGACGGTTTTGCCAGTGGTGGATTTGTTGTCCAAACGGACTTTTTCCAGTGCTTGGGAGAGGGAGTTCATGTTGGTCATTTTTGTGTGTAGAGAGTGGTGGGTTGAAGAGGCAAGAGAGGAAGAAAAAAACTGCGCTCAAACGGATCTAGATGGAAGAGAAGAAATATACGCCACGATACGAATGAGGATCTTTTAGAGAGTGAACTCCTCGGATGATTTGAAAATTTTCTGTTCTTTTCTTTTCTGAATCATCCCATTGTTGCATTGAGCTGGAAGTCGAGAATTAACGACATATACGACACGATATAGCATCCATCACTAATACTTATGAAGGAAGGACAAGAAGGATATATCCCACCAACGGGGCTGCAGCTGCATGGGGTCCCTTCGCTGCGGCTCTTGGATGTGGGAATATTGGTCTCCCCAGCCTAATTCAACCCGGCACGCATGGAGGAGAAAGGCCTGATGAGTCAAATTTATGAGCTGGGTTTCAACTTTCAAATTGTGAGAAAAAAGAAGAAAGGGAAGGAAAGGAAGGCATCTCCGCGCCGGTATTTAAACTAATTTCCAGTACTGCACTGTTGGTCTGCGTGACCCCGCCCGACGGTCAGTGCGTGAACTTTTCTGTTTCCGCCGAAGACCGCCGGCATTGCTGGGCCCCGATCATCCACTTGCTTCTTGTTTCTTGATTGTTCTTCACTTCACCCCAACCGTGCTCTTTTTACCTCCCTTGGTGTCGGTGGTGAAATCATTCCGGCGCCTGTATTTCTCATCTTCTCCCGCTCATATATAGATGCCCTTTTCACTTTCATAATGCTTAGTCGTGCCGTACTGCCTCTGACGAGGCCGAACGTCCTCACCTCGACCGTTCGAGCTTCAACTATCTCCGTCGCCCACTCGCGTTGGTATGCGAAGTCCACCAAGCCCAAGACTCCCTACAAGCTTCCCGAATCCGTCAAGTCCGCCAAGTCGGAACAGTCACCCAAGGCTCCCTCTCAGAACGACTACTCCGCGGAGCAGGCCGAATTTGATACCAAGGCTGAACCGGCCACCGAAGCCGTGAGTTTGATGACGACGCTGATAATCTCAACACACCTTCTGACACTTTCTATTCCCAGTCTCAGACCGGCTTTACAGCTCCCCAGAATGATGCTCCTCAAAAACCCCTGCCCGATCTCACCCAGGGCATTCCCTCCACCCTTGCCGCAGAATTGGAAGCCGCCTCGAAGAACCGCGGACCAAGCAAGCTGAACCTTACAGAGGACCCGTCGCGTGCGGAAGATTACGATGATGGTGGCCGTGACATTCCCAACTACGAATCCTCCCTCGATCGCAAGCGCGCTCGCATGGCCAACCTGATGTATGTCCTGTTCCTGCTGGCAGGTGCTGGTGGTGTGGCCTATTTGGGCCGCAACTGGGAGACCGAGGAGGAAGAGAAGGCCCACCCCGATGTGCCATCGGGTTGGGGCTTCGGACTCATGTACAACCGTGCCAAGGCCCGCTTGGGCGATATCACCAGCTACTACAAGGACCCTGCTTTCCCCAAGCTGCTGCCCGATGAGGATCCCAACATGCGTCAGCCTTACACCCTTGTGCTGAGTCTGGAGGACCTCCTGGTGCACAGCGAGTGGAGCCGTGAGCATGGATGGCGTGTGGCCAAGCGTCCTGGTGTCGACTACTTCCTCCGCTATCTCAACCAGTACTACGAACTCGTCCTCTTCACCAGCGTGCCCAGCATGATGGCCGACCAGGTGCTCCGGAAGCTTGACCCCTACCGCATTATCCGCTGGCCCTTGTTCCGTGAAGCCACCAAGTACAAGGATGGAGAGTACATCAAGGTATGTCACTGTTGGCTGTACCTAGCTCCCAGTCAAGACTAACCCAGACACCTAGGACCTGTCCTACCTCAACCGTGATCTGTCCAAGGTGATCTTGATCGACACCAAGGAGGAGCACGCCCGCTTGCAGCCCGAAAACGCCGTCATCCTTGAAAAGTGGCTTGGTGACTCCAAGGACAAGACCCTCGTCGGCATGATCCCCTTCCTTGAATACCTCGCCGGTATGGGCGTCGAAGACGTTCGTCCCGTCATCAAGTCCTTCGAGGGCACCCAGATCCCTGTGGAATTCGCCAAGCGTGAGAAGGCCATGCGCGAGCGCTTCGAGAAGGAGCTCGCCGAGGAGCAGAAGAAGCGCCCCCGAAGCGGTCTGGGCAGCTTCGCCTCTGCCCTGGGCCTGAAGTCCACCCGCACCCTGGACGGCGAGCAGAGCCCCTCGGAGGGCTTGGCCCAAGGTAAGATGCTGTGGGACCAGATCCGTGAGCGTGGCCAGAAGAACTACGAGATGATTGAGAAGGAGATCCGTGAGAACGGCGAGAAGTGGCTGGCCGAGATGGCCGCGGAGGAGGAGAAGGCCCGCCAGGAGCAGATGGCCATGATGAAGGGCTCTTTCACCGGCATGTTCGGTGCTGGGCCCAAGCAGCAGTAGATGCTTTCTTGAGCGATGACGCGGCGGGGCGCATGAAGCGCTCGCCTGCAATGACCTTCTCTTCTCTCTTCCGCTGTTTACTTCCCAAAAAAGAATTTCATTGGGCTATTTAATGTATATCCGAGATGCCATCTGCTCGATGGTCTCGGGAATGTGGGGTTCACATTAGAGGGGTTTTTCTTGTTCTTCTTTTCATTTCGTTGGCTCTTGCGCGATTCATCACGGGTTTTCATCTCCGTTGTAAAATAGCATTTGGTTGTGTATTTGGTTTTGCGGTGTATAAATTGATAAATACTAATGAAGTCAAAAGAACCTTCATTATCCTTGACTTGTGTCTTTTCTTTAAAGTTGTACAGCTATCGTAATTTTCTTTTGGGGGATTAATCATCAATATAATTATCAAAGATTGTTTGCGACTAATACATGTGACATTTGTAGCTATTTCATGGCTAGTGAAACTAAATATAATATCTTTGTTGATTGTTGCCATATGGTTACATTGAGTCCTGGAATCTTATAAGAGCAGTGGTAGTGAGCACGTTTTCCATTACCAGCACCCTCTCGGATTTACCAAGTATGTCATCAGGTCTACTAACAGTGAGCATGCGCTTGGCAATAACTTACATTCTAATCGTTGACCTTGCTGGATAGTTGTGGTCTAGAATCGAAGCTTTGGCTGCAATATGATGATGTACCAGATATATATGTTAGCATATAGTGCTGCTACCCAATAGTAGTATAGAACTACTAGTATAAGTAATTATCTAATTACTAATGGTAATCCAACAATTACTAGTAGCGTTGCGAGTCTAACTCATTGCATATGGTCTATGGGCTAGTTAAATAACTGTCAAGTTTGGTATGGTACTTTGTACTCGCACTAGTCAAGTTATCTACTTGTCCGACTTGGCTAGATCACAAGACCGAGGGACAGCATCGGAAATTTTTGGGGCTGGGAGGGGAGAGGGGAAAAGACCGGAAGCGCCGATAAGTGCACAGTCATTGAATTGAAGAAATCACCCCACACCGTCAGTGAAGGCTGAAAGGTCGAAGCAAGTATGCCTGGCTGGTGGCTCGGTGATCTCCTTGGGTTTCTGGAAGCGCGCGCGATCGAAAAAAGCCTTGGTATTACTCCGTAGAATCTGCCAAAACAACTTGTGGGGAGCATTTCAGTCACAGCTGAGTCAGTCAGGGCGACCAACCACGTGCCCCAGATTGATGTAATGGCCATCCGCGCAAGCACTAGTCCGCTTTGGGGAGATGTCCCTCCTGCCAGGGCTTAGCGCGGTAAGATTGCATACATTGTTTCATACTTACAACTAGTACTACTATGTAGTAGTAGTAGTAGTGAACAATGCCTCTTAATACATCTCATACATACATACACTAGTTGGTTCTTGTGTTTCATTGTCAGGAACCCATTCCATTTCATCCACTCTCCTCCTCTTTTCTCCATCCTCCTCATCCCACCTATTAACTATTCCCCATCCGATCTCATCTCTTCTTGGATTTCCTTCCCCAAGTTCTTATAGACCTCTTGATGCTTCCCCGCTTCTGACCTATCGAGTTCCCCTTCCTCGGTCATTAGGAACCGCCCCGTTTCAGAACCCCATACGCATTGGAGCAGAAGATCCCCGGTGCATTATTGGCGTGCGGGTGAGGGACACAGCCACCGGCCTTGCTCGTTGGCGCTTCCCGCTTGCCCACCAGCGTGCTTCCTTCCGCGGTCTTTATTTCGCCCCCTATGTCCTCGAAAAATCATGCTGGCCTTGGATAATTGAACACCCCCCAGTGTCGTCTGCATTTGTTCTATCAAATGTAGACCCGCGTGGGTGAGATTCAAAACTAACTACTACTACCTTCGACCATGGAGGAGGATGTCCGGTTGCCCACCTCAGAGCGGCTTGGCGGCCCCCATCTTGATCCCGATCAATGTCCCTCGACCACCTGCTCCCTTAAGCTGCATCAGGAGCCCCCGAAAAGCACGCGACCGCGTCTGGAGAAGCAGACTTCGTCGCCGTTTGCTCGTTTGCCTCGTACCGTCATCGAGCAGTAAGTGCACCTCCCGTCCCAGAGCCGGTGCATCGCGCGAGCGACAATCATGTGATTGATGATATCTGCTGCCTGTGCTCGGAAGGATCTCTGATTTAACTGGCGCCTTAGTATTCTATATGTTGCGGATGCCAACACATTTGCGTCGTTAACTCTGCTGAACCGGAAATGGCGACGCATATCGGACTCAACCCTTTTGTATGCGCATCATCTCTCCCAGTGCCCGTCCTTTGCCTTGACGCAGAAGGCTACTGAGCAGCCCGCTCACTCAAGCGATCTCACACTGCTCAAGCGGCAGTTCGGCGCGCAGGTCAGGCGGAATACATTCAATGCGTTTCTCCGGCCCCGCAGGACTCTCATCAAGCTTACCTCGACTTCTATGAGCTCTTCGACGGCCTTTCCACAAGGTGAAGCATTCCGCTTTTCTTTCTCTCCTAATGCACAGCTTATCTTGTGCATCAGCTCTTCCAGAATTGTGGTACTTGATGTAACTTCGGATCGGGCGGTCGTGAAACATGAGCTCAAGACTTGGCGACGGCCTTTGAATGCTGCCATTGTAGATGATGGCTCCATTCTCGCTGTCGTTTCCTCCACTCACCGGGTCAATATCTACCGCCTTACCGATGATGAAGCGAAGCACATTCAAGACTTGACATTGAACGATGTTCCTCGGACCTTAGCGCTCTCTCCGACAGGAGGAGTTCTTGCCATTGCGTACGATGATCGAATTGAAGTCTACGCCATCGGTGAAGGGGCACTGGCTACCGAACGAAGAGCTGTGCGCTGCTCCGGGGTTGACTCGGTGTCGTTCTCCTCTGATGGTGTCATGCTCCTAGGGACTTCCGCTGAGCGCGGCAACGGCGGTTTGGTCACTATAACCGTGCCATTTTACACAGAATCAGAAACCGAGTATTCACCGAGGGATGCACAGATCCGTATGTGGACCACACAA